GGCGGTTTTTGGCGACTGAGGCAATGACTGCTTTGGAGGCAAACAGCTGCGTGAGAAAAGTTGTGTCCTCAGCAAGGTCCATCGGCTCCAACATGAAATCCATCATTGCATCAGTGGTTCCGTCATGGTGCAGGGTATTTGCAGCAACTAGTGTGTCAACATCATGCCCATACGGGGGTGGAACGTCAACCGTGGCATAAGACCCATGGCTGACTGGCCGTGGATCTGTTTGGGTGATTGGCCATAAGAGTCCATCAAGGCTGACACCACAACCTTCCTGCAGGTACTCACAGTAGTGAAATACTGCCGCTTTGAAAAGGATTTGTCTACGGCTGACATGATGTGTGACTCTGTGAACACCCCTTACCACTGTGGGTTGGTTAGTACTGCCTGTGGCCGAAGGATGATGATGGTATATGACATCGATCATAATCAAACGATCTGTTGAATGAAGGGGGATGTCGCCAACCCTTTGAACGATCGCTGGTATGGCCAATTCTGGAAAGGCGTCCGGAGAAATGGGCATAATGTGTAAGGCCTCGATGCAGTTGAACGGAACTCTCAGGGCATCTGCAATGATGTGGGACGGCTGGGCCAACTGTGCATTGACCAATTGCACCACTGTGTCCATACCATTCATTTGGTAGATATGCAGAGGCGTGGTGAACTGAGATGTGACTGGGGCAACGTGTGACTGTACATCATCGGTGGTCGTTCCGGCTGGAAACTGTTGTGTCCCACCTGGCCGAGCATCGGTTGATGATCCCGCCTGTGAGTTGGTTTGCGATGCCAACTGAGCTGGAGTCGAGTGAATCTGCAGTTGGAAACCGTCTCCATGGGACATGGCATGCTGCGGCCTCAATGTGTACGGTATCACTTGCCAACCAAAGGTCACTGTGCATTCTTGGTAACTACACATGGCGGCTGCATCAGCTGCCTGGGCAATGTCAAAGCCACTGACATCCGTTTCAAAAGAGGCTGCAACTGAAAACATGTCAAAGGAGGCTGAGCGCGACGGCAGGACAGTGACCAGACCTGCATACCTGTCAAGCTGAATTGATTGCGTCACAACTACATCCAAAATGACAAAGCTGCGCCTAGGCGGTCTGGGGGGGTCGGGGTGAATGATGGTGACATCGAACCATTCGTCAGGGTTAATCTGATCTACCCAAATGGAGCTGATTTAGCGCCTCCCAACCTTGTGGAGGTCCAACAAGTTGGAGGTTTCTAGGGGCAGTCCATCTCCTAATGGTGGCATGATCGATATACCAGGTTCGAAGTGGAACATCAAAATCCCCATCATTGATATCAAACCCCATCCTAATGAAGCGGTTGGACAGATCTGCAACAAACGCTGGTGGCATCGGCGGTTGGCGACCCTGCCAGTTAAGGCCGGGGTCATCTGGTGGCTGATCAGCTGGCAAATGAGCAACCAGGTCTGTGATGGGACTCTCGTGTTCCAAACGGCATTGTCGGATGTAAGGGTGATGCATCTTGTCATGGTGGCTTCTTGGCGCGCCGCATGACTGTACAGGACAAAAACGGACTGTGGCTGCACTGCATTGACTGGAAGACCACACGTGGTCTGCATCTTGCATTATGGCATGCCTAGGCTGCAAATGTCTGTGCTTGGGATGCAGAACCATCTTGTCAATTGCTGTTGATGGGGCAACCAGAGCGTGCAGCGGTTCACGCATTTGGTGTTTGGGACCCTGTGCTTCAGGGTCATCGATCCGAGTGACCTGACTAAGGATTGGGACCAAATTCACTGGAACTGGGTACGACTTGTGCCTCGGTGATGGTAGAGACAAACCAAAGTCCCAATCCTTTCTAGAGAGAGGGCGGTGACTACCTGGATCAAACAAGCCTTCGAAACTGGCATGAACTTCGCATTGGCCGGCATCGACGATTGGTTGAACAGGCGCTGGTGGGGAAGGTCTTGGGCTGCAGCATGGATCGACCTGGGTGAGTTGGCATCGGGCAATGTGTGGTGGCTCGGTGCTTTTAGGCTCATCGGGATCAACAGGCGCAGTGAGACCCTTTGCATTGGCTTTTGCTGAAAAAATGGACCATGGTTTGTCGGGCATGTCCAATGACTGAGACGGGATTGAGATGACATGAAAGGCTTGATCTTCGTCAAGCCCAATGAACAGCTGAACAATGTCATCAAAACTGACCTTGGCGACCTTGGATTTAGGTTCTGAGCTCCTTGGGACACAGCTACTCACATGCTGATCAACTGGCGCTAATTGGGGCCTAGAACCATTGACCTCATACGCCAATTGAAACGCAATGTCCTGGGCTGACCATTCATCCAAAAAGTCGGGTTCTGTCAAAACTGTGTGCTGCCATTTGATGGTTTGCCAAAAATCGTCCTTGCGGTCCCAAGGGTAGGAATGGATTGGAAAATTGCACCCTTGGACCAAGGACACATCAACAGACGCATCAATGCCATCCGAATAGTCGAGCTGATCAAACCCTTGGTGAACCCCTGGCACAGAAAAACCCTCAAAAGCAAAATCACTGTCAGAATAACTTCGAAACTGATCAGAGAGGGTTGAAGGCAAACTGTGAAAAACATGGTCAAAATTGGGCATGAGATCAGCAGTGGCTGCATGACTTCGATGGCTTGAATCGGAACCCCAGATATGCCATAGGGGGCCGTGAGCAATACATGTTGCAGGTGTATTTACTCGCCCTCGCCAAAACCTGGGTTGTGTGGCGCCTCTTTGTCTTTTTCCTTGCTGCTTGGAGAGTCGACTCTGGGCCTTTTGCGATCCTGCTGGTCCACTTCTTGCTGCACTGCTTGTACAGCTTGGGTGTGGAGGGCCTGCAAATTGTTGGCCAAATCTTGAAAGCTGGCCGCGATTTTCTCTCCAGCAGCTGATTCGTGTGCCTTTGCAGGAATGTCCTCGGTGTCGCTGATCATGGTTGCATCCTCTTTGGGGACAACTCCAGCGGCTGATTGGGAACTGCTGAGGTTCTCCTTTGCAATGGCCAGGTTTTCCTGTGCTGCCTGTAATCGTTCCATGAGTTGTTTCTCCTGGGACATGAACTGATTTGTATATGCAGTCCATTGTTGAACCGATTGTGACAAGAAATTTTTCCAAGCCACATGCATGTTCAGCCTGGCAGCTTGTGCATCGGCTATTTCCCGCTTGGCCCTGCCATGTTGCGATACTGCTGCATGGAGCTGTTTTGTTTCTTGCTGGCCTGCCCTGATGGAGACATCCTTCATCAAGGCTTGGACATCTTCTGGCAGTACATCTTGGTGCTTCCTGAGTGCAGCAACTAAGGAACGCATCTGCTTCTCTTGGCCCTTTTCGTCCTTGGCATCTGACATCTGTGATGGCGAAGGACCCAGGGGCATGCTGGGCGCTGTTGTTGAGGCGGTCATCCATGGAGGTTCCAAAGAGGGCATAGCAGGCAGCGATTGTGGGCCATACTGCACCTGGTCGTCTGCTTGTTTCTGTTTGCCCTTTCCTTTTGCAGGTGGCCCCTGAGGACCTTTTTTGGACCGCTGCCTCGGAGACTGCCTTCGTCTTGGGGATTTGATCCATTGCGATTGCTCCCAATGGGGTTGCTCTGCCCATTGATCTTGGCTCCATTGCACTCTTCTTGGAGTGGTTGCTCGAACCTGAGGGACAAAGTTGGGATCCATTGTCTTCCTCCAAGGTTGACCACACTTTGCACAATGTTCGTGTTTCCCACTGCAAATGCGCTTGCAGGGGAAGCACTTCCAGGGTGGTGGAGCTTCGGTGTTCATCTCTTCCGTAATCTTTGCAAGGAATACCGGATCCTTGGAATGATGTTTTTGTAGCTGATGGCGGATGTGTTGCAAGCGCACGGCTGACAAACGCAGTATTCCACGCTTGTGGAGGTGCCAAGCCAGTCTGGCACGGGCTCGAGCACGTCTTTCTGCTCGTCGTTTGGTCTGTGAAGCCGTGGTGCTCCAAGGAAAATTGACGATCAAATGTGCCAATGCAAAACCTGTTGTAGTCCGAGATCAGAGTGAAAATGATAATGCACAACGTCAGGACCAGCAAAATTGAGCACATCAACCGTGTAGAAATTCACGAAGGCCGCAACCAAAAAATAGATTTCAAGTGATTGGTTCACTTGCAGAAACCTGGCAGTCAAACTCAATGAAGAGGTAAATGCAGAAAAATCAATGCAGATACGCAGGTTCAAAGAGGACCACAATCGGTGTAAAAAGCCCACCGCAGAAGCAGGAAATCCGGTGTAAATCCCACCGCAGAAGCAGAAAGTCCGGTGTAAAGCCCACCGCAGAAGCAGAGAAAAAATCCCAAAACGGTGTAAGGCCACCGCAGAATCAGGACCAGCACTGTAAAGTGGCAATTCCCCAGGATTAGGGAGCTGGGACTCCTTGCACCAAGACCTTGAGAAGCGTTGTTGTAAACCACAAGCAACTGTCAACCCAAAAAGATCTTGTACACCGACAAAAATTGCACACCCCAATGAAGTCCAACGTCAGCCGATCTAACAGCAGTGACGTGAAAGGAAAAGGTCAGCAGGTCGAGACGGCGATTCGAACCTGTAGACCCGTGGGAAAGCACGATCTTCCCACTTAGGCAAATGGCAGGAACCTGTCAAAAACGCACAAGCGAAGGGGCGGTTCGAGCCCAATGCCTTGGGAAGGATGACATCCCATATATGAAATGGAAAATGATCCAGTCATGTTCCAAAGCACCAACCAGCCTATAATTATCAACCAAAAAAAGGGGCTTTGAAACTGCTCCCATGGCTTTCAGTCGCTCCATTTTTTTGTTTCTGCGACCGACTCTAAAATCCGTGTGTGCGAAAATGATAAACAACGACTTCCTAAGGTGAATCATTTTTTCGCCTGGAAGTGCATGGCAGTGTTGAGTGTTGACCCACCATTGAAAAACCTATTCGGTTATGTTGGGAACTCCAACCACAACGAAATCAGCGTTTTCCAGCGTATTTCCAGAAAGTGCTTGGATTTTCCTCCAAGAAACATGGCTTCCAGGACCCATAAAGGTCCCTGCTTTTCTTTCACTCAAAGTCTTGGCCCAGTCGTTGGCGCACTGTCCAACGAAAACACCAATGGTTTTCTTTGCCAAGTCCTTGCGAGGTCTGCCGGCATCATGACAGGCAGCATAGGCCACTTCCAAATGTTGACGTTGCTGGGGATCGATGGCTGCAGCTTCATTGCTGGAGATTCCAAAGAAACGATTGTCGAAGAGCTCCTTAGAAGTGGAATAAATGATTCATGGAATCAACCGGCACAATCTACAATAATCTACAGATAGTCTCCAAAGTATTCTGAGAAGATAAGAATTGAACATGTTGTTTGCCCTGAAGCATGTTGAAAACATGTTCAAAGTTGATGAAAGCTTCCCATAAGGTTCCAAGCATCAACTCCATCTATAGCACTTGCGTGCCTTGCATAGGTTAGGAATCCAACTCCCGAGGCTGTCACATCAAAGCATTCATTTACATCAAAGCGCATCAAGGGGATCTCAGTCACTGCATCCAGTTGCTGTTGAAAGACCTCCCTCCAAGCCTCCTCCGCTGTGGTGCAGGTTTCATTCCCTGGAATTCGACATGCCTTGCCAGCCACCGACACCGCGGTGCTGCAGCCATTGGGGATCTCAACGACTTCCACCGGACGGCCAACAGGTTCAACGTCCAGGTGGGATGCAATGGCACGGACTGTGGGATAGTCAAAGGCTATGGTACTGGGCAAAGCTGTGCCTTCTCCCAAGTTCTGCGCCAGCTTCCGGCGCAACTCAACGGCTGAGAGGGAATCCATGCCAGCAGCTGTCAGGGGTTCATCCAGATCCAAGTCACCGATGACTTCAGAGGCAACGGAGTGAACCAACTGCAGCGTGGAAGTTGCAGCCTGTGGCGCATGGGGCTCCACAATCTCCTGGTGTTCATTCGTGGCAGTTTTGCCCAGGTCGCTGAAGTATCTTGGAACTCCTGAGTTGAAGATGTGGTGCAATTCTAAACTGTAGAGGTAAAGATCAAACTGGACCCTCGAGCCCTTGATATCCTACTTAAACTCAGTTCCGTTCGAAATAACCAAAAAAAATGGTATATGACATTCTCATACATTCTCCAGTGATTCTCCAGGGTGTTTTTTTCTACTTTATAAGGCAACTTCTTTTTGAATCAATGACATATTTTCATGTATTCTCAGAGTGACAGTGCGCAGCCAAAAACTGTGCGGTGTCTGTGTCCCGCACCTGCCCCGTACTTTGCGAGGAAGGGCTTCCAGTCCATGTGCGCACAGACCAACGAGCTGATGCTGTTCCGAAGGACTGAAGTCAGCACAGCCATCCCTGGTGGAGGTTCTGCTAAACGAGGAAGCAAACACCAGGAGCAAACGATGAGTTCACTAGTCAACTCAAATTTCCAGCAAATCAAACATGCCACAGGTCACCAAAAGAATGAAAACAAACATGTTATCATGTTGATTTCTATCCGCAGAATATCGCAGAGAACCGCATCAAAGACTCACCGAGATGAAGGATTTAGCAAACATACCTTGCCTAGTTCCGCGGAGATCCCTTTCTGTGCCAAGTGCTTGAAGCGGCTGGGCTGCTGGGCAGCCATGCCAATGTCCAGCCACGCTCCCCACTGCACCGTGATGGCGCGTGATGACTCAAGGCCTGATGCGGATTGGTGCAAGGATCAAGAAGGACTTTGCCAAATCAAGGGTATATTCCCCAATGCTTCATATCTCCATACTCGGAGGGTCTAGGTACCTTCATGATTCTTTAATGCTTTATCAATTTCTTAAGAGATCCAGCAGCTCCATGCAGCTCTGTTCTGAGCTGCAGACGGTACTTGGACATCCAGGCATCCATGCAGGCATTGGCCGCTGCGTAATTTCCCTGTCCGGCAGCCCCGAAAATGGCGGCCGTAGAGGAGAAGCTGAGGAGAAAATCCAAGCTCTCCCACTGGTTGCATCTGCCCAGTGCCTGTAGAAACACTGGGAAAACCACTGTGAGGAAAGGCCTGTTTGGAGGAGTGGCCATAGGCTTCGTTGGGATTTTGACACTCATAAATGGAATACCCATCAGCGCATTTAGGGAATCAGTGACTAACTGCATTACCGACTACTTAGACTGATCATTAAGTCGTGACAGCAATTTGGGCAGCTTTCAGGATCACAAACAATACTTGTCGCAAGAATCAGTCATCTGCAAATGTCACATCGCATTCCAACTCATCTCTTTCTCGCTCTTTTGTCCCCATCTGCTCCTTCAAACTAGCCAATTTTGATCCAAATAATCAAATAGGTTTTAACTATTTTCAAAAACCAATCCATTCATTCCCCAACCATGTTGTATCATACATATCATATATATATACAAACTACACACATATATATAATCCACAGTCATGCTCCAGGGATGCTTCATGCTAAGGGATGTTTGGGAAGTAGGCCACAAAGACTAGAGACTGGAAGGATCTTTTAACCAATCTCAGCCCAAGATGTTTGGGAAGTAGGCCCCGCAAGAGTAGAGACTGGAAGGATCTTTAATTCAAATAAAGATCCAAAATCAGCCTAACAAATCTCAGCCCAAGATGTTTGGGAAGTAGGCCCCAAAAGAGTAGAGATTGAATGGAATCATCTTTCATTCAAATAAGGACCCCAATCACCCTAACCAATCTCAGACCAGCCCAAGTTCCGAGTGAAAAGGGACTGCCTCAGTGCCCAGTGCTGCCATGAATGGGGAACAGGAGAGAGAGGACGCACTTAGGTCAAGGCACATGAGAAACGACATTTTGGTTTGCGCAGTGTTGTTTTTTTTTAACCTTGTAGTGATCATACCAACCTCTTTCAAAGGGGTTTGCATGATGTTTGGTGGTGTATGTCTTCAGCAAGATCGTTCTTTATGACAAGGTTCCAACAACAAGTATCAGGTGTCAAAGTCGCAACTATTTGATGGTTGCACCATGCGGCATTCATACCATTTACTTTTTAAGAGGGTGGCGAGAGGATGTGTGATTTTGATATGCTTAGGTGCTCAGGTGGATCTTCTTTGACCTCGGTCTGGGCCATGCGCTGGGGGGAAAACCAAGTCCATCCACCGATGAACGCTGGTTCATGGTGTATAACGCTGGACAAGCGTTTGAGCCGCTGAACAAGCGGACGGATTGGAATTGGTTTTGCCATGGGCAAAGTGTTGAAAGAGACACAGAGTGTAGTTTTGGAAATCACAACCTTCTGCACAAGAAGTCGCTGAACAAGCAATGGGGCGCTGAACAAGTGCCAGCGATTTCCAAAGCTACACCCCACTGAAATATGCGGGAAGTACGCTGCAACATGCGTAGCACAACATTCAGAGTAAACAGACCAGCTGCACCTGGTGTGTTTACACTGAATGTCCGTGGGGTCATGTGCAACATCCTCTCATAGCATAGCGTTCATTGGTCCCATAAATATAGTGAATTTTGAGCTAATTTCATCAAGTCTCCAATTTCTGAACCATTGTTCTTTAATGCTTGTTGGACCATACCATCATAGAATCATAGATATCATAGCAGTCATTGTCCTGAGTCATGAACACTTTCATTTTGGGGTTGTAAAATCATGAGCTACAATGAGCATAGATCATAGCGCCCTGAGGCCTCATACTCGTCAAAAGCACGCATACCACAAATTGACAACTACGGTTTGCAACATTGTCGTTCCTGTTTTTTATCAACGACCATCAAGCATTGTCCATGATCATGACTGTTAATTTCCGATAGTTATTGCCAGTATTAAGGGTCATATAGTCAGTGTATATAAGTTTGGATGCCTACAATAAGTAAGATGTCTCATAAACCCGGGGTATCCCGGGGTTACAAGTCAATGGGTTCAAGTTCAGTGTAAACATGTGTAAACCACCACGGTCCCACCATACACACAGCACATCTGCCAAAACCAACTGGCGCAATCATCTCATGAGTTATCCAACTCATAGGGGAAGTCTTAACATGTGTAAGTATGCAACATAAACTTCACCTGGCCCTTCCCCTAGGTGTGACTCAATGAAAGGGTTCCCAAAAATGCGCTGTACAAGCGCAATGCGCGCTGCACAAGCGCTATGCGCGCTGCACAAGCGCTATTACTGGATTAAAACCTCTAACTTTGGATTCTGTCCAACATCAGCTTCGCTCTGAGGCTGCGGGGCTTCTGGTACTCCTTGTTGACCACTTGTTCCTTGGCACCGGATAGCAGAAGCATTCTCAAGGAGGTTAATTACTATGACTTGTGAGTATCCCCCCTCAAGGTGGCAAGTTTGACATGGCTTCAAACATGTTGGTTCAATGCACTCTGTGACCATTTTCAACCGCACTGTGCCAGCCATGTAGCCTTAGCCTTACGCCGTTGGAGCCATTGGCAAGGGCTGCGCAAGGGATTGCATTATTGGTAAAACCTCTTGAATGATATCCCTGATTTACTAGAATAGTATCTGTTGATAGCTAAAATATGTTGAATTGTCAATCGTCCTTAGACACATTTCTTGCGCAGCCTTTGCCCAACCCCAACTTTACGCCAAGCTTTGCGTCGCCCTAAGCCAAACCTTGTAGCGCTTAGGCCCCTCATTTCATCTTTTTCTGCTTCTTTTCCTTTTTGTTATCCTGCACAGCGGTGCTTATTGTGGGCTTATCAGGCTTGCCGCGTAGAGTTGTCACATGTTTCTCATCCACGATGGAATGTTCAGGCTGCCTTTATTTAGGTCCCCACCCCTTGACCGGCCTTGTCTTTGCCATCATCACCTTTCCTTTTCTTTTCCTTTTTCTTATCTTTTTTTCTCCTTGGAGATGTCCTTCTCGTGTGGCATAATCTAAAAAAATACTGACAATCCCACTATGAATCTCCCCATAGCCAGGTTTTAGAAATCTCGCCATAGCAAAGCTTTGAAAATCTCGCCATGGCGAGATTTTGGAAATCTCGCCATGGCGAGGTTTTAGAAATCTCGCCATGGCGAGATTTTGGAAAATCTCGCCATGGCGAGATTTTTGGAAATGGCCCATGGAGAGGACCTCCGTGAGGAGCTAGCCATAGCCAAGGGTTCAAATCTCACCATGGCGAGATTTTGGAAAATCTCGCCATGGCGAGATTTTTGGAAATGGCTCATGGAGAGGACCTCTGTGAGGAGCTAGCCATAGCCAAGGGTTCATGGCTAGAACTTCTGGCGAGCATCTTGAACAGGTCATGCAGTGCAGGTGGAAAAGATTGCCAAAATCAACATGTTGCAAAAAGCCATTCTATGGCTAGCACCTCTAGGAGGTCCTAGCCATAGGCCCTTCTTCAAGATGTTTGCCTGGAATAACATGTTTTTTTGACCTAGCCATGCGATTTTCATGCTATGATAAGTTTAATATTGTCATGGCTAGGACCTCCTAGAGGTGCTAGCCATAGAATGGCTTTTTGTCAACATGTTGATTTTGGCAATCTTTTCCACCTGCACTGCGTGACCTGTTCAAGATGCTCGCCAGAAGTTCTAGCCATGAACCCTTGGCTATGGCTAGCTCCTCACAGAGGTCCTCTCCATGAGCATTTTCCAAAAATCTCGCCATGGCGAAATTTTCCAAAATCTCGCCATGGTGAGATTTGAACCCTTGGCTATGGCTAGCTCCTCACAAAGGTCCTCTCCATGGGCCATTTCCAAAAATCTCGCCATGGCGAGATTTTCCAAAATCTCGCCATGGCAAGATTTCTAAAACTTCGCACTGGCGAGATTTCCAAAATCTCGCCATGGCGAGATTTTCAAAGCTTTGCTATGGCGAGATTCATAGTGGGATTGTCAGTATTTTTTTAGATTATGCCACACGAGAAGGACATCTCCAAGGAGAAAAACAGATAAGAAAAAGGAAAAGAAAAGGAAAGGTGATGATGGCAAAGACAAGGCCGGTCAAGGGGTGGGGACCTAAATAAAGGCAGCCTGAACACTCCATCGTGGATGAGAAACATGTGAGAACTCTACACCGCAAGCCTGATAAGCCCACAATAAGCACCGCTGTGCAGGATAACAAAAAGGAAAAGAAGCAGAAAAAGATGAAATGAGGGGCCTAAGCGCTACAAGGTTTGGCTTAGGGCGACGCAAAGCTTGGCGTAAAGTTGGGGTTGGGCAAAGGCTGCGCAAGAAATGTGTGTAAGGAAGATTGACAAATAAACATATTTTAGCTATCAACAGATACTATTCTAGTAAATCAGGGATATCATTCAAGAGGTTTTACCAATAATGCAATCCCTTGCGCAGCCCTTGTCAATGGCTCCAACGGCGTAAGGCTAAGGCTACATGGCTGGCACAGTGCGGTTGAAAATGGTCACAGAGTGCATTGAACCAACATGTTTGAAACCATGTCAAACTTGCCACCTTGAGGAGGGATACTCACAAGTCATAGTAATTAACCTCCTTGAGAATGCTCCTGCTATCCGGTGCCAAGAAACAAGTGGTCAACAAGGAGTACCAGAAGCCCCGCAGCCTCAGAGCGAAGCTGATGTTGGACAGAATCCGAAGTTAGAGGTTTTAATCCAGTAACAGCGCTTGTGCAGCGCGCGTAGCGCTTGTGCAGCGCGCATTGCGCTTGTACAGCGCATTTTTGGGAACCCTTTCATTGAGTCACACCTAGGGGAAGGGCCAGGTGAAGTTTATGTTGCATACTTCCACATGTTAAGACTTCCCCTATGAGTTGGATAACTCATGAGATGATTGCGCCAGTTGGTTTTGGCAGATGTGCTGTGGGTATTGTGGGACCGTGGTGGTTTACACATGTTTACACACAGGAACAGACACTTGCCATCGCCCATTGTGATGGGTGATTTTAACTGTGTGAACTTGAACCCATTGACTTGTAACCCAGGGTTTATGAGACATCTTACTTATTGTAGACATCCAAACTTATATACACTGACTATATGACCCTTAATACTGGCAATAACTTAACTATCGGAAATTAACAGTCATGATCATGGACAATGCTTGATGGTCGTTGATAAAAAAACAGGAACGACAATGTTGCAAACCGTAGTTGTCAATTTGTGGTATGCGTGCTTTTGACGAGTATGAGGCCTCAGGGCGCTATGATCTATGCTCATTGTAGCTCATGATTTTACAACCCCAAAATTAAAGTGTTCATGACTCATGACAATGACTGCTATGATATCTATGATTCTATGATGGTATGGTCCAACAAGCATTAAAGAACAATGGTTCAGAAATTGGAGACTTGATGAAATTAGCTCATAATTCACGATATTTATGGGACCAATGAACGCTATGCTATGAGAGGATGTTGCACATGACTCCATGGACATTCAGTGAAAACACAGGTGCAGCTGCTCTGTTTACTCTGAATGTTGCGCTACGCATGTTGCAGCGTAGACTTCCCACATATTTCAGTGGGGTGTCGCTTTGGAAATCACTGGCACTTGTTCAGCGCCCCATCGCCCTTCTTGTGCAGAAGGTTGTGATTTCCAAAACTACACTCTGTGTCTCTTTCAACACTTTGACCATGGCAAAACCAATTCCAATCCGTCCGCTTGTTCAGCGGCTCAAACGCTTGTCCAGCGTTATACACCATGAACCAGCGTTCATTGGTGGATGGACTTGGTTTTCCCCCCAGCGCATGGCCCAGGCCGAGGTCAAAGAAGATCCACCTGAGCACCTAAGCATATCAAAATCACACATCCTCTCGCCACCCTCTTAAAAAGTAAATGGTATGAATGCCGCATGGTGCAACCATCAAATAGTTGCGACTTTGACACCTGATACTTGTTGTTGGAACCTTGTCATAAAGAACGATCTTGCTGAAGACATACACCACCAAACATCATGCAAACCCCTTTGAAAGAGGTTGGTATGATCACTACAAGGTTCAAAAAAAACAACACTGCGCAAACCAAAATGTCGTTTCTCATGTGCCTTGACCTAAGTGCGTCCTCTCTCTCCTGTTCCCCATTCATGGCAGCACTGGGCACTGAGGCAGTCCCTTTTCACTCGGAACTTGGGCTGGTCTGAGATTGGTTAGGGTGATTGGGGTCCTTATTTGAATGAAAGATGATTCCATTCAATCTCTACTCTTTTGGGGCCTACTTCCCAAACATCTTGGGCTGAGATTGGTTAGGCTGATTTGGGATCTTTATTTGTAATCCTGAATTAAAGATCCTTCCAGTCTCTACTCTTGTGGGGCCTACTTCCCAAACATCTTGGGCTGAGATTGGTTAAAAGATCCTTCCCGTCTCTAGTCTTTGGGGCCTATTTCCCAAACATCCCTTAGCATGAAGCATCCCTGGAGCATGACTGTGGATTATATATATAATTATATGTATATATCCCATGTTCATCATCCCCTAAAATTCCTCACCCTGCACCTCCCGCAAGGCTTGAAGGCCCCAGACCTTCGCTCCGAAAGTCGCCTGGCGGCGCTCTCAAATGCGTTTGATCTTGTTTAAATCACAATGACCCAAATTAACGTATTTCATGTTACTGCTTACAATCAATACTGGTTGGTGGTTTCAACCCTTCTGAAAAATATTAGTCAGTTGGGATGATTATTCCCAATATATGGAAAAATAAAACATGTTCCAAACCACCAACCAGGCTAGTATATTATATCATGGCCAACATATTTCTCGAATTACAAAAAAAAACATCGTTGTCACAGTATGCCATACCCACCATCATGAGCCATGGGGGTTCTACCTACACTGCCCAATATTTGATGTTTCATTCATTAGTCCTTACAGCCTCCGGCGGGTCACCAGTTTCTGGGGCAGTGGTTCAATCCCCGTCATGAGTTGGTTAATAATCTTGATGAATTTAGATATATAATGATATATATCATCTTGGACCCTCCAGGTACCCACAAAATTGCTACAAGTCCCAAAATATCCCAAAATCATATGCCCTAACTACTTGGATTGGAGAAATCATACTTGGAGGGTCAGTGTAGCATCACGCATCGGAACTTCACGGCCTCAAAGTCCTGGCGCGTCATTTTCCCCAGCAGCGCATCCTGCAGCCGTCCAGCCAGGTGCAGCAGCCCTCGCAGCTGAACGGTGGACGCCAGGGTCACCAGCTGGTCGCAGGAGGCCAAGTCACCTGGGATGCCATGGCACGCCGGGAGTTTCCGCCAGATTCATACGTAGTTTTCAAGCAATTCTGAGAGGTTGAGCTCACAAATGGTGTGACCTACTATAATTAGCGATGTATAGCGCACAATATTGCCAACTAAATCGATGTCCCATCGAAATGGCTGGAGAATGAGCCATTGACTTGGATAATCATGATAAACATGTTTATCTGGATGTTTATCATTTTAGCTTTCCAACGGGTGGTAACATGGTTAACGGGGTTTAGTATGCTGATGTTATGTTTGTTTATCCCCTAATGATAAAACATGCCAGAAATATTGCATGCCTGAAATGTACTGTTGAGGTCTATGAATGCTTTATACATCTGCAGTCTGCAATGTTTGCTTTGAACTAGGGTTTACTGTGATGTTTATCCCATGTAAATGGGTGCACCAAGCATGGTGATTACCCGCCTAAGAAAACAGGGGGACAGCCTTAACATGGATACCCAGTATGTAGTGATCCAACATGGCTGGAAAAACCCATTCAGCACGGTATGAGTACGGTATGAGTGTCAAAACCGGGGTACCTTTTTGTTGACACCAAAATAGTTCACGTGTTCATGTATTTTCATGGTACAATATGGTACTTAAATGTACTTAATAGTTCAAAAGATCCACCCCCAAATGTTTTGAGATCAAGTTGGGGTGGGAACATATCCAAACAGCCAGGGTGTTTTCGAGTGACACTGCCAGATGCGAACTTGCGCCGCCGACTTCTGTAACTGCCCCAGGTCTTTTGCTCCACTTCTGCTGATGAGGATCAATTCCTGCGGTCAAGGCAGGCACAGGGTCGAGTTGCCAAAAAAAAACGTACTATATATCTTTAGCGGATTCAAACATCCCAAGTGAATGTGTCGGTCAAACCCAGTTTCTTTTTTCTCAGTTCCACCAAGCCATGGATCCATCGGCAACCCCATGGATCCATCGGCCACCGGCACCTTGGCACCTTCTTCCACCAGTCTTCGTGCCACACAGAGTCCCAAGGCACCAGTTCCGCCGGTCACAGCATAGGCCCCCGGTCCCACCATCAGTGGCACTGAGACGACCTGGGCTGAGTGGATGCAACTCATTGCAGTCCATAACTGCCATAACTGTGCTATGAAAGAAGAGAAGTGACAACGCAGAAATTCGATGTTCCACAGGTTGTGATGTTGTTGATACAATATACAACAAACCAAATTCAGACCAAACAATGAAAAGCAGCCAAATCTTCAAACAGTCCAGTTGCGATTTTGCCAATCTTCTCGGCCCGTCGCAAGACTTGCAATGCATCCGAACAACTCGACAGCCCTTCGAAGACTTCACGTTGCAAGGGAACCCAATCCGTCTCCATCCTGCGGGAATGATCCACAAGTTGGTTTTATAATCCCACACGCGCTGCGGTGAAAACATGTGATGTGTTGCTCATATGGTGATCCATCCCATACTGGGAATCCTTACCATGGGATACCATGCGATACCATAAATCTCTCTTGGTGGACTTATGACCATCCCCGAATATGGGTATATATTCCAAGTTTTGAACATGAATTCAACACCATGAAAACCATAGTTAACCCAGTTGTAAACCAACTTAGCCAACTGGGGCACCACATAGTGACACCCATCTGCAAATAAGAACAATGCTGCAAGTTCACCAAACAGCCCTCTTCCATTTCATCTGTGACAAATGTTGGAAGGATCTTTGAGCAGCTATATTCAGGCAGGTACGGGAAAATCGTGAAAAAAAAATGACAAGCTGATCCAAGCTGTACATGTGGGAATCTCCAACCATGGATAGTTCTCACAAGCAGCAAACCGCTAGGCTACAACATAGATAAACAAGAAGAGCGCGCTTATCTTCTTGACCAGTATTTATGCCTTGGCCATCAATGTGGCTCAAAAGAAAAGTAGGCAGTTCCAGTTACCTCAAATAAACTTGGTGGTACAGGGTTTAATCATGTTGTTGTACTTTGATTGTCAAAGCAGGTTTGTCTGAAAGCAGGATAACCCCCAAATCTGTTGGTTACTCATCATTGGACCCAATAAAATCACATATCCGGGGTAGCTATATTGGAATAACTTCCACTAAAGATACTAAATCTCTAAAGGCATTCATGTGGAGACCTCAAGAAGAAGCTAAGAGTATAATATCGTATGATGTGTCAAACAAACTTTATTTTCAAGAACATTATATAATTCGATTAACACATGGAGGTTTCCTAAGTCATGGGGCTACCCTCATCCTCCAACTCATGAAACCATGTGTATTGAAAGCCATGGTGACCTAATCCTGGGGATCTCCCATTGTATGAAACCACCATGTACTAAAATCATATGAGGGGTTTCCTAAAATAGGGGTACCCCAGTCATCATCCATTTATAGATGGATTTTCCATGAAACAAACCATCCAGCTATAGGACACCCCATGGATCCCGACGATCCTGCGCGAGAGTCGCACTAAGAGATCCTGGAAGCGATTAGGCTCTTGCTCGCAAAGCGTATCCATCGCCAACACCTGGAGACCCACAGGAAACCCATGGTTTCTTGGCCGTGATGGACGTCATTTCTGGAAAACTTCTGGGTGTGTTCTCCACCCTTTATCCTCTGAGAAAAAATATGAAACATGCCACAAATCAACATAGACCATAAATAATCAGTAAATATCAGCAATATGATATGATATATTTCAAATATATTAAATATATACTGTACATCACCAGAGATTAGGTGATTTCTTGCATGGAGTGTTGTTTTTTGTGATCACTAAACAAAACTATTTACGTTTGTTTTGCAGGTTTGAGAAGTTCACAGTTGGACCTTTCAACCTGGTCAGCAAAATTGGTATGTCGGAACTCATCTTCATCAAACAAATTTTCTAGGATTGAGATACCTATCAATTTTAACGATGATATATTATGAAACTGCGTCGTTTATCGCACAATCTGCTATATACGCTCATCCATGTTCACAAGGTATTTTCGGTACTGTGAGGGTCGAGGATGGGCATTCTGGACCAACATCTTCAAAGCTTGGTGCACCACCTGAGTTTCATCAATAAATGATAGCAATAAAAACCATAAGATCAATAGTTGCATAGCCTACATATTGGCATTCACTAGCATATCATATCTATTATATTGGCTTGTGTACAAAGAGTTTATGTTTCACTAGTCTTTGTTTTCGCATAAATATTCACCAACTTGGCTATGGGGCACCACCCTGGCACCTGGTACTGCACATCCGGCCGCTGCTGCTGCATCTGCTCGGTGCTCCAGATGCCACGCTTCCCGATCTCCACGAAGACGCCATTGGGTCGCAGAAATTTCAAGGAACGCCCGATGAAATCGTCGTGGCCTTCGATGGCTTCTCACAAGGAGCTTCCAGTTGGATCAGTCTTTATAAAACTGGGAGTAGAAAAAAGAAACATATCCTTTTACAAGACTCACAAAAATGGGAATTTCCGGGAATGTATCACGAACATGTTGTGTTGTGACGCGCAGGAAATATTTCTCTCTTGGGAAAGGCATGGTAGACTGATGAAATGGTCTGTTGGGATGAGTTTCTGTATGAAACATGGGCCTGAAATCTTGGAAAATCTCATAGAAAACACCATCTGAATAAATTAGAACAATGTAACAATGATCAACCTGAAAAAGTTCGGCCATTTTGGATTAATAATGGGACTTATTAGCTATAACATGCTCCCATAACAGGCTATAACAGGCTATAACATGCCATAACCCATTTCCATCCATTTCCCATTCACCATCCCAATGACGCAACGGTCATTCGTCACCACGCAATTTCGATTCCTATCGTTGCTGCAACGGTCCCAGATGTCACAGCTGATTCCAGTCCAAGCTGCTTAGGCTGTTGAGGACCACATCCATCTTCTCTCCGGTCAAATGTCCAGCAAGTTCTTCTTGGAACAGCGAACCATCCCTGGAGCTTGCCACCTGGGGGCAACATGTACTGGATCTCGTAGGGAAAGAGGATAATAGGGTTTATAGGATAATAAAGATGTGATAAAATGGAATGCTGTATACGATGTATAGTGAAATCAATATAGTACAATAGGGTTTTCTTGAAATCAATCAATGGTCAAGTGTGTGTTAAGGTACGCCTAGGTAACGTGGAACCACTTCCAGAATTTCGGTATCCCATGAAGTCCATCCTTGTCATCTTAAGGTCCGCACAAAACGAACTCCCATCTGCAAAAGGTGCTGCTTCTTCTCCTGGGACAAAGATGCCCGCGGAGCAAAACCAGATGCCATGATGGTCATGATGGACTACACAAATCCTATGAACACACCATGAATCATGAGCAAGGAACATCAGGGAACCAGAGATGAGATGTCCAAGGGGAAAAAAACACGGCTGATGCCTGTGGTCTCGGTCATCATCCAAGGCCCAAATGGGATGACTGGCACTGAATCCACAGGTGTTGTCATCTCCCCGTCTCCCCATTCAAATTGCCATGCTATAAGAGGGGTATACGGTATACACTAATCATTTTCAGACCTAAATATCGTATATCGGATTTCTTATGATGTCCCATTCAATCCCACTACTTAGACTAAGTCCCATTGGATCGGGATTGAATCCCATGAATTCCGACGCAATTCCCCTAAGTCTCGTATGGAAAATCACCATCCTTAATAGTGAAACATTATATATACGGATATTTTTTTTTTTCATGAGCGATGCTTTTCATAGCTCTGCTAAATAACCAGAGGGTATAGGATATATAATCCCTACTGTATATACAATCATAAGCACTCCCCAGAAAACCTCTTGGATTGTGATCTATGCACCAGAGGGTACTTCCACTGTGCCGACCTAAAAATGTTCAACCAGAGGGAAAATCCGATTAAATATTACATAATATTACTATATAAATTCCATAAAATCACCATAAAATCACCATAAAATCACCCAAACCCTAGCAGCCATGGGGTCACCTGCCAATGGCCCCGGCGGCACCGAACTCCTCCCGCCCTGCCGTGGCATAGACCGTGGCACCCAGGCGTAGGGCATATTGCACAGCCGTGAGCCCGACGCCACCTCGGAAGCGGGCGGGGGCCGAAGCTCCACATAGATTGGATGAGGATTTTAGAGCGATTTCAAAGGGAGTTACCCTCTGGTAAACGTTTACATAGCTATTGAAAATCACCATTTTTTCCATGGGAAAGCTCACTATTTCTATGGCAATGTTCAATAGCTTTTTGTATGTTACCAGAGGGTAGTTCATAGGGAAATGAATGGGCAATTACTGCGATTTAACCAACAATTACCTTACTTCGAGTGATCCCCACCCTGACACATTATTCTGAAATAGTTTCTGACATCAGTTTATCTGAAAGTATACATGGCATATCATGGCATAAATATTCGGACATTCTATCTGGCATATAATCTGACATTCTATCTGATCTATCTGACATTCTTTCTGGCATATAATCTGACATTCTTTCTGGCATTCTATCTGACATTCTTTCCGGCATTCTTTCTGGCCTTCTATCTGGCATTTATTCCGGCATTCTATCTGGCATCTATTCCAGCATTCATTCTGGCATCTGTTCTGGCATTCATCTTCCCTGGCATGTGTTCAGGTCCAGGCGTGGCCCAGTGCATCCGGAGCTCGCGATATGGCTTGGATCCGTTGATGTGACGACGAGCTGGCAGAGGAGGAAATTTAAAAGGAGAAGAAGGAGGGAAGACGGAAGAAGAAAAAGAAGAAGAGGAAGAGGAGAAGAGGAAGAGGAGAGACCCTCACCTGACAGGTGGGGATTTCACAAACACAAACTGTGGCAGAGCTTTGGATATACTCTCCAGTGTCGTCAAACATGGTTGGAAAATCCTCGAACTAGATTAGCATATAAATGGGAAACCAATCGTTCGAAATGGTGGGTTGTCCATTGCCATGGAAATGGGGGAACGAAGAAACCTACGGTTTAAATCTTGGGGTACTCCAAGTGCGAGAAACATCCGAATGTTGGCATTTGTGAAAGGTTTAACAAAAACATAAGTTCGTTGCTTGGTTGGCATCAGCTTTTCAACATATTGATTAGTCTATAATGTATAGCACATCCCAAAATTGTTGAAGTTGACAACAAATACCTGCGTACTCTCAAAACAGGTTTGGTTTATTGTTGAGTTCATTCCACAGCACCACTTGGCGTTTCGCAATGGGAGGGGTCGACAATGGCTCCTTGTAATCGGATCATCCCAATCTGTGAGAATGTCACAGTGTGGGCAAAGATGTCAGAATGTCACATGACAACTTGGCGGGAAATGAGTGTTTCAAATGAGTTTAATGTTGTTTTTATTGAACATCTGCAGCTCTGACCAATGAAATCTGGCCTGCTCCTGCGTGCACCAGCAATCGTTGCCCAGCCTGCCGGCAAAAGTGCAACGAATCAAGAGTGTTAGAAGGCCGTTGCCATTAGAGACTCATGTCAAACATGTCCATTTGCAGACAAACCCATCTCATGTTGTTGGTGAACTATGTACATATCCCAGAACATGCATGAAATTAATCCTGCATTGATTCGTATCTTTTGTGGTCACAACCTTCTGTTTGCTGACTAATTAGCATGCCCACTTGGAATTTGTCTAAACATCTTATATACCCTCTGGTAAACTAACATACCTATGGATAATCACATTTTTTTTATGGGAAAACTCATTAAATGGCCATTTTCAATAGCTATGTTAGTTTACCAGAGGATAATCATCATGTTCCCTAAAAAAAATGCTGTCAAACCAGACTTGGTTTTGACAACTCTCGTCTCAATGGCGATGATTCATGACTCAGTTAATCCAATTTTTAGTACCCCGTTAGTACCCCCCATCATCTTCTTGATAAACATACCATAACATACCCGTTTTGAACCACTCCCACATAGACATATTGTTGGCGATAGGAAATACTGGAAATACTAGAACTATTGAACAAACTAACGACCAAATCCCGATCTCCATTGTGCTTGTATACCACCTATTTATATAGTGCAAACTTCCATTTCAATGACAAACCAATCATCATAATCATCCCAATATAACATCCCCAATGGTAAACCATTCAAGTAATACCAGCAATTCCTAAACAGCCCGAAACTGTTTAAACCTGTATGTAATTCCACGATACAGCTTGGTTAATAGTGATTCGCATGATGGATTAATCCCCAACGTATCAGGTAGGCCCATACCCCCGTATAACCATAATGACCACTCAACAATGGCTTTGGGCGTGGTTCAACTAAACGATTATATTACCAGTATACATACAACCATGATAAACAAAAAGAAAAACGTTATACAACCATTGTAAAACCATTCTATAACCATGTTCAACCACAGGTCAGGAATGGCCCTATGAATCAAAGCCATGCATGAAATGATGATGGTCTACGCCATTCTACAACAATGTTTCACATCTTATTCAACCATTTATTGAACCATTCACATCATTCGAACAACTAACGCCATTAACCAACAAAGGTAATCAGAAACATCATCCCATCTGTATACCCTATAGATTCCCCAAGTACTGGATGTCCTATTGGAAAAAATCAGCAAATTATAATCTTTAGCAAATCAAGGTATTACCAAATGAAACCATCCCAAGAAAAAAGACGGAAAAGTGCATGTTTAAAACCGAATGATTCACCTACTATTTCTTGATGTTCCCAGTGCCAATGGATCCAGTACACCTGTCAGTCGGTTCCCAAAAAACTGAGCCATTCATTCACGCCATTCACATCATTCACATGATTCACATCGCTCCCACTACAAGAGAAAGCCATTATATAACCAAGCATTATTTTGTGTCATTTCCCATAGATTCCCTATAGATTGAACATCACGAAACCCATTTTTCAGTGATCTTCGGATCCACCGACCGCACCCCGGCGATGTAACCGCCTTCAGTTTCGCCAAGTCGTTTAGGGCCACCTCCACCGTGCTCCACACCGTGGGCAACGCCGCCGCGTCGAAATGCGACCACTTCGGGGCTGTCCGCGTCAGCAACCGGGGCTCCTGGGGACAAGAAATTCACCAAAAGACAGGGGTTCAGTAAGGCCCTCTTTAAGGGCTTCATGGTGGTTCATGGTGGTGAATAATTGGATACACCTGGATACACATTAAAGCACTGGCTATGATATTGGATCGATTCCTTTTTGGAGGGACAGGATTGGGACATACAGAATACCATCCTTTTTGTGGTGCGGAACAATGGAAGATAAACATAAACTTCACAACCCCCCTGCAGGAGATGCTCAACATATACATATGTCAACATGAGATGGAGAATTGGGGATTTGATAGGAAAATAATGGTATATAGTGGTGATGTAATGGGAAGATAATGAGGACTTCAAGCATTCTTCAATGTCACCCTGAGATAATGGCCTCAGTTTGAAACAATTTTAAGGAGTGATTTCACCTCAATGTTTCAAATTTCAACTCCTTCAGAAGAGAAACTTGATGTATCTTGATGTCTAAGTGTAAACTTCAATCATGCCTCTGAAAGCCAAGATGGTGTTTCTCAAACTATAGGAGGACAAAGGAGAAACCTTTTTCACTATTGGTTTCCCGACTACATATGATGAACAGGCTGGATGATTTAGGGTTCCCAATTCTGGGACCCCTCCATGTACAAATCCCCGGCTGCCAGTAGGAAATATGCGATATCCTTATAGTATATAAGAATAGAGTACTATAACCATCCATAATCCATAGGAACTATAACCATCCATAATCCATGAACTAGGAATCTTTTTGTTGAAACCAATCAGGTTCCAAAAACTGGAACCTAAATTCTCAAACATCTCGGCACCACCAACCACCAACCAGCTCCTTGATGGCAGCATAGGTGCGCAGACATCCGAAGGAGATGCCGAAGACGTCCTCACCCAGCGCGAAGGAACCAGGCGCTTCGCCAGCGTCAGCGACGTCAGCGATGGTGCCGGAACAGTCCAGGCCAGGATCCCCTGGGCAGCATCGCCAGATCTATGGCTTCTTGTTGCTATATATGATTTATTATGTATATATATACTGAATCCCATGGTTGTATATGGCTGTTTTGGGTTGTTTTTTTTGAAACCAGAAAACATCTATGTAGAGTGGTTTGAAATAGTCAAATAGGAAAGTCATCAAGGGTTTCTTCATATCATCCAAAGATTTCCAACATCATTTTTTTGTCATCCAGAATGGCATGTTTCTTCGTATCCTCATTATATATATATGTTCATCATATCCATATAATATATCCCTATGATATTCTGAATTCACCAAAAAATGCTGATTATGAAATATTGTGGTTTCCCAATGAAATATATTCATGATTTCCACTATTTCCATGTCATTTTAGCATCCTCAAAAACCTGGTTGCGAATGGGTTCTACTAGTTGGTTGATGGATAACAATAATTTACAATAGTCTCCATTTAACAACCCAGTAGAACTCCCTATTTTGATCATTACAATCATATTCTTTGGGAGACTCAATTCATAGCTCCCCAGTACTCCCCATGGGAATATATGGGAATATGGATACCGTATGTCCCTACTCTATCCCCGTGTATGTCCACCTTATACCCCTGTGATATCCTCATTATATCCCATTGTTATAATAGCACTGGCTGTATATCCACATCCCATCATAATGGATTCTGATGAATAGCGGATTCGGATAGTCTCATAGTGCATGCATTATGATCATCCCTATTTGGTCCGAAAAGAGTATATTCCCCAGTCACTTGGCTATTATGATCATTAAATCATCATGTTATGTTCATGCATTATGATGATCATCATCATCATCATCAACCACCAGCGTTTCTTTGACAAATCTCAGCCGTCCCGCCTGGATCGCCTGGGTAGAGCCCCATGACGTTCAACACATCGCGGAAGTTGAGGCCCACCGCCGCAACACCTGGGCGCGGTGCCGGTGGGGACCAAGCAACGAGATATGTTGTTAGGGATTTTATACCAGCAAAAAAAAGACTGGATTTTTATGAACTTATAAGATAGAATCAGCTGTGAGAAATAATTTAAAGGTTGCTTTAGTTCACTCTAGGTGAATTCTATGGCGTTTGGTGTACAGTATATATATTATATATATATCGATAGTTGTTGGGACTTATGAACGACTTTATAGCTGAGGGGACACCACCTTGTAATATGGAACACTCCCGAAAGAATGTCGCCCAACTGAATAGATTCAATGTGCTGCCAGCGCCTTCAGATGTATCTAATTAGGAAAAGGGATAGTCGTTCTACCCCGTCTTGATAGAGATAATCAATCTATGATGATCCAACTCCTCTCCTTTCGACCCATGAACATAGGCACATAAACCTCCCATGGTCGTCCAGGTAGAGCTACAATACCTTTCATAAACGCCCAAATATGCCCAAATTCAATCAAAGCTTGCAACAACTCTACCATTTTTCTTCATCATCATCATCATCATCATCATCATCATCATCATCGCCAACCCAGAGAATCTAAAAAACAAACGTCCCGTCACGTTCCTATAGATAGAAACAAAAAAAAAAAACACCTGGGAGAAAACGGTTCCGCAGCTCCAAATGGCGCCGAAAGCAAGTGGCGTAGCAGGTCCACCGTCAGCGGTCGCCGCTGCGGTACCAGGGACAAGCTGGAAATGGCACCACGGCGGAAGTCCAACCTGAGGCACTCAGCGAGACCCTCATTCCTTAACACATCATAAGATATACCAAAATGCCATTGATATCCATTGATTATTATTTAGGAATGCCATTGATAACATTGATTATTATAAGAATCACTATATTATATTTGATAATACATCATAATATACCTGTGGAGTTTCTGTAGGTGATTCTTATAATTAACCATTGACCATCTGATTTGCCAAATTTTGAATCATGCCAATACCCCCGGTGTGAAAATCAATCCAGCTAACTCTCTTTTTAGCTAGGAAATCCTGTGCATTTCTGATATCTTTAAATATTTGGCTGCCATCTTCCTCGACATCTTGTGAATGTGTGAGGTTCTTCTTTAATTTGTATGTCTGATCACTCTTTAGCACGGTTTGGGGGCTCTTGTCTGGTCACTAGTAGCTAAAATTGGTAAACGCCACATTGCTTTGGAAAAAAAAAACAACTTGTTAACTTGGTGTTTTACAAATGGAAAAGATACCCGCCCGAAACGAAATATATGTATATTTAAATAATATATACATACATGATATTACATGCTGTTTGTAGTATATAAATGTGGTCAATAGACTTATAGTTTCAAACACTATCAAAACATGGATAAATCATGAACTTGTTCGCCAATATTTGTTTTTTTCAGAAACGGTAGAGCGACTGATGCCATCTCCTCGACCTAGTCTTTCAAGCCCCTGGTAATGCCAGGCCTAGTTTACTTGCATGGTAATCCAAAACAAACAACTTTCTAGTCAAGCGAGCAATGTTCGAAATCATCTGTTACGAACAGGAATTTGAGAATCCCCTGTATATCAGGTAGATTCATAACCATCACCTATCAACTCAAAATATATACTCATTTCTATTAGCTTATAACCAATATGTGGAGATATTTAGCGGTTAGACCCAATGTGGTGCCCCCTAGTCTTAAGTCCTTTAACCACAACAAACTCACCAACTACACTAACTATCTATTTAATCACCATACATCATAGAATTCACCGAATTGTTTCAACCGACTCAGCGATTCCAACCTGGGGATTCGCTTGTTGTTGGTGATGAATCAAAAAAACATAAGTATATTTACCAATTTATTCTAATGATATCTACTGTATAAGAATAAGAATACCATAAATTGATAGAACAGCTTCAAATTTCAATTTATTCTTTTTCTCGTAGATTGTTTACCAAAATTATATGTTTTTGGACCTTGCTATGATTCGGAACAACAATTTCATGGTCAAATCTGAACATGGGAGTTACGAACAAACCCGGAAAAACTCATATATAATTATTGATATACAGGAAAAGACAAGCATAGTCCCATTAATTCCTATCATATAAATCCTATTAAATCCCATTATATCCCATTAAATCCCATTGAATCCCATTAAACCCCGCTAAATCCCATGAAATTCCCATTAGTTTCCCATTAAGCCTCATTAAATCCCTATTAATGCCCCGTTGTGTCTCCCCATTCATCGATGATGAATTTCCAGCATGACATCGGCGCGTCACTTCATGGGCCAGGCGGGTTGGATCTCGCTGTGCTTCAGCCTGAACGCATCCAAACAAATTGAAACATGTCTAATGGAAAAATTACATTTATACATATGTATATATATATTAATATTAATATTAATATTAATATTAATATATATGTGTATTATAAGAAAAACAATATGTATGTATGTATGTCTGTATGTGTGTATGTCTGTATGTGTGTAATGTGTGTGTAATGTGTGTGTAATGTATGTAATGTAATGTATGCAATGTATGTAATGTATGTAATGTATGTAATGTATGTAATGTATGTAATGTATGTAATGTATGTAATGTATGTAATGTAATGTATGTAATGTATGTACTATATGCAATGTATGTAATGTATGTAATGTATGTAATATATGTAATGTATGTAATATATGTAATGTATGTACAGTAATGTATGTATATGTAATGTATGTACTATATGTAATGTATGTAATGTATGTTATGTATGTTATGTATGTTATGCATGTATGGTAATGTAATGTAATGTAATGTAATGTAATTAAATGTAGTTATGTTTGTATACATATTGTATTATATTAAGACAGGTGTCTGTTTCACCTCTATGTTCTGTGTTCTACAACGATGTGCGTGTTATACGTAAAGGTTGGCAGTTGACGGAAGTTTCCTGTTGGTGTTCTGAGGCTCAGTCATGTCAGTATACCAAGAAGATCCTAGAAGCACCCATCACGCTGGGAAAAAGTACCGAAGTGCAGCATCAAATGCATATTTTTTCTGGATTATGAGTAAAAGACATGTGCTGATAGGTGCCAAGCTCATTTCAAGCGTAAAATGCGAAGTTTTACGGTAGACCCTCAATTTACCCACAAAAATGTATGAATTCCATAACCTTCGTACTTTTTACCCATCTGTGTGGGCCGTGAGGTTCTGCTGTACGAGGGTCTCCATGTGACCTTCACCATGCACTGTGCGCCTGGGAACTAACGCCTTGGACCCTCGGAAGCACGTCTCCTGCAGAGCGTACCATGCATTATAAGACGGGCGAATCGGGGACCCAACGGATAGGATAAAGCGGATAGGATAGCGATCGATGAGTCATTTTCAAAGATTATGTTTCACTGAAGTCAGTGTGGTACTCAGAGTTTCTGATGGACACCTCTTCTCCATTGGATTTGGATGGTCGTGACTTGGGAGAGATTATAGATATCCCAGCGTTTCCCAGCGTTTCCAGCAAGATGAAACATCAGGGTGGAGATAAGATCCGATAAAAGAGATCCCTCAAAGTGGCTTTTCCCATGGTCACTGCATGCCACTCCCAAGTGGTTTCGTGCTTGCGGCAAGCTTCTCCGGGTTGCATCAATCCATGCATGTGGCTGCACATATCTCCACAGATCTGTGGAGGTAATAAGAAAATGGTGCCCTAGACATGATGGTGAAGCCCCCATGAAATAGCTTGTCAACCAGGCTGATTGAAAGTATTGTTTGTTTCACCCCCATTATATCCCCAGTCAACAGTAGTACGTAATAATACTCAACCTGCATGGGTAAAACAACCATTTCATATCGGCCTCTTCGTCAAGAAGCTTTCCAGCAAGCTCTTCACATTCCCCTGCCTTGGCCATTTTTGGTGGTTCACCATGGTCGCGTGCAGGCCGTCAATGGGTGATGCCAAGTGATGATCAACCAGGAGAAAATTTAAGGGAGACATGCTGCGTTCGTTTTTCATCCGATTGGTGACAAGATATGACAAGATGCACTGGAATCACCATCACCAACAAGAAAAGTTAAAACATCGTCGCGAAAACATCAGCAAATATTCGCCCAAATCATGAAATACCAAAGCCAGCACTTCAGGCAAGCGACTGATACATCAATGAGTTGTACTGGAAAATCAACTTCTAGCCGCGCAGATCTGGCCAACCCCCAAATGCCCGCATGGTTGGGATCAAAGGATGTCCTGGGCGGTCCAGTGGTGCCGTAACGACGTATGACAGATGCCAAGTGATAAAACCACCTGGACACCGGCCAAACTTAAGGATTGAATTATGGACATGGGCAGTTCATGTCATTTTTTGAACATATTTATGTATATATATATATAATAACAATTATATATATATATATATCATTCAAGTTACAACTCAACTGGTCCAGTATCCCATGTTTGGTCCATTTGAGTCCAACTAAAGATGTTGCCAACATGGTGACAACTCATCTCGATATGATCATCAATTGATAATGATCACAGGGGTGATAATGATAGAGTTGTGGATTTTCACTCTAGATAATGATGTTAACTCTAGAATTGATAATGATATGAAAATAAAACGACCAAATTCTAGAGTAACTGGATTGAGTAGAGCTGTGGATAGCTCTGGCACTAATAACTTGCCACATTACGGGCACCAACAAAAATCTAGCGTTGCCAATCCAAGCTTTGCAACCCGTAACTTTGTGGGCTTCTGGGGCTATAAACCCAGGGTCCCGCTTCATTCAGTTGAGACATTTCGGTTCCTACTGTAATTTCAATGTCCATGGCGCCATGATGCTTTGGCAACCATTAACCCCACAGCAGTTGTGGAACATTGAAGAACTTTTATTAGGTACCACAAGGCTGCTTGCACAGGGGGCTCTGGATCCTCCAACTCCAAAGAACTCTGGCTTCTCTTCCAACTTTGTGGTCAGCTTGCTATAAGCTGTAGATACCACTTATTTGTTGGCTACCCAATTCCTCAACGTGCAAAATTGCTATTACTATTTAAACAACTCCAAAAAATCATGGTCAGTTTACATTTTTTACAGCACATTTACATAGGTATGCATTAGGAATATTGAAGATTGAATCACCATGTGATATATCGATCATATTAAAAATACATATCATATAAATGGAATAGATGATAATATAACTATAAATAGCCAATACGTATCCAATAAAACATAATATACATATATATATAATATGAAACAAAAAACATGACTGATGGTTAAATCACCTGCAACTCATGCTAAATCCATATCAAAATCAGCACAGCATACTATCGAAATTAAAATCACAAAGTAAACTAAACGTACCCATTAAATCCCTCGTTAAATCACCATTAAATCCCATTATATACCATCATAAAATCACAATGAAAATACTCAAATGTGTTTTTCCAAAATTTCAACACCGCAATATAAATCATCTAAAATCATCTATATAAACTTAGACCATGGAAATCTATATCGAAATCTGACTTGGGATATTTTGGGGTCCCCCTTTGGTCATCGTCTCCAAGTCACATCTCCACCGGCTGCGCCCCTTCCGTCACCAGCAGCACCTTCGCCCGCCCCGGTGCCGCCCGCTGCACTGCTTGGAGCAGCGCCAGCGCCTCGACCAAGACGTCCAGCGCCGCAGCACCGGAGGCCACGTAGAGCAGCGCTGAAGCGGTGCCTGTCCGAAGCAATGGGAGATTTGGAGTTCAAAAAAGGGGAAAATTATCCAAATCGAGTGAAGTTTAGATGATTTTTTTCTTGGATGATTGATGATCGTGACCATGATGGTGAGGTTTAAAGGAATCATTGAAGATTTTGGGATTGAGTTTAGTGCGTTGAGAAGAAACTCTTCGAACATATGGGACATGGGATTGAATTCAAACGCATAATCTCTCACCATATTTTGGTAATTTCTGATGCTTAATGATGGCTAATGATGCTGAAATTTTGAAGAAATCACTGTAACGACGACGATTGGTAATTTGAGTTAATGATGTGGAAGATGCGGAGATTTTTATGGTCATTTTCCTATAGATTTTGGGGGATTTCTGAGGGCTAAATGATGGTAAACTCATGTTCAATCCCAAAGAATAATCTGGAAAGTTTTGATTTCACATGATCTAACCATGATTTATTCATTTAAAAAACACATTCCGAAAGGTGTATCACATTTAGATTATGTTAGATCCCCCATTTTCAGGAAAGCTCCTTCGCTCCGCCATGCTCCGCCATGCTCCACCTGACCGCAATGCATCCTCCACCGCTGCGACCTCCACACAGCGTGCCGCGCGCAGAACGCGTTGCAGGCGGTGCGCCGCGGCGCCGCAGAGCAGCACGGAAGGCGGGTCAGGCCCTGCGGCGCCCCATGTCTTGGTGAGTTTCAAGTGGTATTTGTCCAGAAACCCAAAAAGGTACATAGAAAATAAGATGAAAGGTGAAATCTCAGGAATCTTCGAATGTAACATTAGTAACATGTGAAGAACTTCTTCAGGTCTGCATCATTTTTGAGGGTTACTTATTATCTTATTGTAAGCACTTAGAAAAACATCTATAAGAAACATTAAGCACCTATAGACCATAGATGGTATATAGATGGTATATGGTGGAATCCATGAGAAGTGACTTAAGTCGGATTTTTTGGGTATACTATAGTAATGTCAAGTTAGGATTATATATCTACTACTGTATTGGACTATATAGTAATCCTAACATAACTGGGGGATATCCCATTTCTAGGCCATCCCGCCTGCAGCTCTGGGCTCCCAGATGAGGTCATAGGTCACATCCTTCGTGTCGCTTGGAGGACTGCGACTGGGAGTGCTCCGCATGTGGATGCCACTCCTTGGCGTTGGAGATTTTGGACGTGATTTTTATCACATCTTTGAGTTTCTGTAGTTTCTGTTTCATGGGATAGATAGGGCAAAATCGGGAGATATTTTTTGGAATACAGAGAATCTAACCCCCAGAGTATGTTTGGGGATCATCTATATAAATCTAAACACGCATGCTGCCGCATGCTCCAAAATGTCTCGCACTGTTCATTGAAAATAATGATAGATCAGTGCAGTGGGCGACAGTGACCCAGCTCCCATTCTAGTTGGACCGGCCGCACAACGAATTCTACAATAACTTAGGCATACTTAACAGTCCCCCTTCTGATTCTGCCATCATTTCAAGTTATATAAACAATACTATAGATTATATAAAACTTACCCCAATCCTCATCATCATTTATGTATAGCCCAGAAGTTATCATATGTTCCATGGTCCAAAACCATGGAATGAATGGCGTACTCTCATGGGATTCCAAAGAGTTTGGGCTCTATGTATAATCACCTTGGGCCAATCCAACATAGATGTGGAAAAATCAACATGTTTGATAATTCATCCATTTTCATGTGCCGTTTTCCACATCTACATGAGTTACCCTACGGTTTTTTTTTAACACCAAAAAGTTCTTTATGGACGACCATCCCAGAATATCTTGGCTTAATCCAATCAGAAACCCAGATTTTGGGTGGGATTTGTGGATGCTCACCCCCCCAAAATAATAATCATTTTGACATTCACCTGGCCATACGCTGGGGTTATACAAGTAAATAAAGAAGTAAATAAAGAACATATATAAATACCATTTTCAGACACCCCACAGTTTCATGTCTTGTTGGTTTTATACGTGTTATATATATAATAATATATACCACTTTATGTGTATATATATATATATACATACATAATCTCCGATTCTACAATTGGATATATATACATATACATAATGTGGCCATGAATATAGCCATCGAAATATTTCATGAATATATAGCCACTAAATAAATATGTGTATATATATATATGGCCATTTTATATTCATTTCGCGAAATGGAAATGGAGTGGCCATTCACAGCAAGACTCAGCCTTGCCATCAGCAGTCCATCGCAGGAGATCTCCACGTCTCCCTGGATTCGCTCCGCTGAGCTCGAGCGAATCTTCAGCGTAGCCCAACAGTCTCCTGGAGCGGGGGAACGTTGTACAAGAAATGGATGAAATATGCAGATCTGAAAAAACAAGTTCAATAGATGGTAAAACATATATTGGATGAATGATGAGAATATGTTCTATATATGGTCATAATCATCATTTCCGGTTAACCCTGGTTAGCCCATAATGAATGCCTCAATGAAATCCTGGTTGGTGGTTTCAATCCCTCGGAAAAATATGAAAGTCAGTTGGGATGGTTATCCCATATATCATGGAAAATAAACAATGTCTGAAACCACCAACCAGTATAGAACATTACTGGAAGAATTTCTTTGAACAATGATGAAACTTGGTGCAATGAAAAAATGGTTGAAGATTGCTGGAGCCATTCCCTTTACGCTCGACATACCCCAAAAAAAAGTCATCATACCAGACTATATAACAATGCCTGGTTGTCTGGCAAATCCACCATCTAAGCTATCATCAGCTTTCTGCCCTATGCACAGAAAAGGGTCCTTTCGGTGCATCACATGCCAGAACGCACTCATCCACACTGAAGGGCAACAGGCAAGGTCTATCTGCAGATTCACCGAAGATCCGTTGATGGGCTAAGATCATCAGCTGGAAAGCGCCATCCAAAATCCCCGGGTGGAGCAACCTTGGCACTGAAATGGAGGGCCAGAGAATATATGGAGAACACACACGCTTCAACAATTTGAAAGCATATATATGTATGTATATATATATGTAGAATTATGTAGATATATATATATAATATGTATATATATATATATATATGTATGTTCGACTGTGAAACTTAATTGTTAAATTATGTTACTGATTTTGGTGGTTTCCAAACATGTGGCAAAATAAAGAAGACTCCTTCCCAAACCACTGCCCGGTGGTGCCCGGTGCCTCTCAGCGACATGTTTGTTGGTTTGTGAACCCAGATAACCCACTCTGGCAATTTGTTACATAGCCATGGAAACTCACCACTTTCAATGTGTAAATCGATAAATCATCTATAGTGTAAATAAATATAGGTGTGTCTGAGAACGGGGGACCCAGGTTTGATTTTGGGGTGGCTATTTTGAGACAAACCCATATCCTACCACAAACATCACCAAAAGCCCAGGCCACTGCATGGACTGCTCCCACGCTTCTGTCTCCAAGCGCAGGCATGCTAGGGCATAGCCTTGGGACGTTTCAGCAACCCCGTCATGATAGACCGTCTCTGAAGACGGTCAGTCGTAACGGCCATTCGAAGAGAGTCACCGGCTGGCTTAGATGAGCTATAGCATGGGCTCAGTGGATATAGCGATGTACCCTGACCCTCAAGGCAAGGTAGCCAGAAGAATGGGTGACGGAACCAAAGTCATCATGAATGGTAACTTGAAGGTTTAGGTCCAGTTGTCCAGTTTACGTATCTTAGACCCCATCCCCATTCCAAATAGTAATAATCTCAGCCAGGGAGCCGTCGACTCCAGAAGACCAAGAGAGGAGGCTACGAAAGCTGGGACCATATTCGAGTTGGCATTCTTTCAAGGTCCTGAGGCAGAGTCGTCCCTCAGCCAGCAAAATATAGCAAAATACGATTAATAGTGGATTTTCCCATTAAAAATGGTGATTTTCAATAGCTATGTTAAATTACCAGAGGGTAATTTTGGGTTTTTAAGCCCTAGTGCTCCAAAGACCTTCTGAGAAAGCTGAGACTGGACTCCAAAATCCTCCCCCAAATTGCCCATCTCAGAAGGTGCATGGAGCTGTAGGGAACTTGTACAGTAACACCAGAATTTGGGCGCTAGATTCAAGTCAGGAATTGAAGGAAGGTTACCTATCATGTAAGTAAAACAAGAGATCAATCTCATATAATATCATACTGTGTTACACAGTGCGGGGACAACCATATCAGAGAGCTGGACTGAATGATTTCCTGGGAACATTTTTGCCATATCTCTGCCCCAAATCCAGTCCCTGGATGAAACGCATGATCTTTTTTGGTGAAACTTAGCAATGAACCCATTGATAAACCCCAAAATCAAGGCTCGAAAAACGCAGTCACAGTTCCTAATATAGAAACATATCAAAAAAACAAATCAAACCAATTTTATGGCCCAAAAACAAACACACCGAATTGCATATGTGTGGTTGATTTTCATAAAGCAAAGTTACAGTAAACACGCGTCTTGCCCTCATTGTAGAACACAATCATAATCATCATTCCGGTTAACCATGGTTAACCCATAATGAATGCCTCAATGAAATCCTGGTTGGTGGTTTCAATCCCTCTGAAAAATATGAGTTCGTCAGTTGGGATAATGATTCCCAATATATGGAAAACATGTTTGAAACCACCCACCAGATTTTTTGAATGCCTCAATGAAATCCCACACCCAACATTCCCAATCAATGTGTACTTTCCAGCATCATCATTCTTAATCCAGCACTTAGATCACTCCGCCGGACTCCTAACTTTAGACTATACCTATAGTAATGTGGTACAGTGCCATGTTTTCCACCCCATGACTGGGAATGGCTTGAATCCCACCTAATGGTGAAATTTTTAAATGGGGGATGGTTTATGTATGGCATTGTTTTACCAACATTACCCTCTGGTAAACTAACATAGCTATTGAACATTGCCATTTATAGTTGATTTACCCATTGAAAATGCTGATTTTCTATTGTTATGTAAACGTTTACCAGAGGGTATAGATCGGTATAGTATACGAATCACCAGAAGCCATCACCATCATCCCCTGCCCTCGCCTGTAGATCTTCGAGCCTTCCGAGGTCTCCGTGCATCGACTCTTCCACTCCACCAGACTCTGTTGCAGCAGAGCTCCGCGAGCGCCGCAGCCTCCCACCAGTCCTGAAAAATGGAGATGCCGATGGAGGTGGATCAAAAATCAAGGTTTATCATGGTTTATCTGACATTGACAATATTGAATGAACAAACACACAATCCAGCAGTTTAGAAGTTCATTATACTACAAACAACAACAAGCCAGGGTGGTCTTTGAGATGAGATGGACGTATCCAAAAGTATCCCAGGAAATCCTAGCGACTCAATGGAGAATATCTGAATTGGGATGAATTGGGTCAATTGTGGGGTTTGGCCTCCAGTAAAAGATCAAATCGGGCAGCCTAAAAGTCTGCATGTATTGAATGGTAAAATCATTGATTCCAATGGTCCAAAGAAAACGGATACATTGAGGTTTTACATTGCTATATATATATATATATATTAGATTTTAAGGCATGGTACATTTGGAAGTACCCATCCTCAAAGTCCCAGTAACACCGTGGAAAAGGTTAGTAAGTCAAACATAGACAAATTGGAAACAGTTATAATGCGGCCACAACTGCCATGTATGAGTAAAAGATGAGACCATGCAAAAGTATATAACTCCTCCAAGTGCCAGTCATGATTATGCATACACCACTCAGTCATGTGGTCTCCGGTCAGTGGTCGCATAATTTAGTTCCAATAAACCTTATGGCCGCTGACCAGCCACTTACCAACTGGCACATCTCAAGGCAACTCCAGCTCTTCTTTTGGATTTCACTTAGTTGTATATATATATATATATACACAGTATGATATAATATATCCAATGTGATATAGAACTATACTATACTATATATATACAGTATACAGTATATATCCAAAAATTGCAAAATTGGACATTCATCTTCCACCACATTCCAAACCTCATTTTTTTTTGTCCCAAATACAGCTGTGGCTCTGGCACCTTTGGCGCGCGCATGGACCGGGACGTCCTTTTGGCTTCGAATTTGGATCTCCTGGTTTCGGGAGACGACCAAGGCGACCACACCCATGGGCTACGGGGAAAAAAGGAAAAACAACATGGCTTAACTTATGTATACCCTCTGGTAATTTAACATAGCTATGGCAAATCATCATTTTGAACAGGTATATCAACTACAAATCACCCATTGTCCATAGCTATGTTAGTTTACCAGAGGGTAACTACAACACCTCTGATAAAAATAGAAGAAAATGAAACCATAGACCTACCATTCATCAAGCTTTATCCAGCATATCCAGGTGCATGTTTTGTGTTTCGTGCTTTAGTCGTGTTGACTCATGTTTAGTGTCAACACATCCACTTTCAGGCCAGGAGGCCCATCTCAAACATGTTTTTTCTACTGCTTGGTGGTTGACCTACCCCTCTGAAAAATGATGGAGTTCGTCACTTGGGATGATGAAATTCCCGAAATATGGAAAAATGTTCCAAACCACCAACCAGATGTATATATATAATATATATATATATATGTGAGTTCCAATACAAACACACGCAAGAGCAAGCTGAACAATTCTCAGATATAAGTTGACCATCAAAGTACTGGTCATTTCAAATTTTGATGCTTACTTTAAGGGTCAAGGTATATTCAATTCTGAATGAAACTGTCAAGTGTTCAGAGGATCTGGAGTAAAACTTGACACAGTTTTGCTGAGCTGAGGCCACAATATTGATGGCATCCCTTCAAATTTTAAGAATCAATCATGGAGCTTGGTCTGCCATGTTCGATCTCTACAAGTGATCCAAACAACACCATGACTATGATCATAAATCATGTCACAGCTATCTTGATTAAAATGGCCGTATACAATACATATATATATAATTATATATATACATACTATATACATATGTGTTGCTTCAAAGACTGCTGACATTGGTACGTACCTTTATTGATCTCTACTGGTAAAAATTAAGGGTCTATGTCCAGCAACCAACTGAACAATGAGCAGCCCATCCTCTCCAACTTCAACTTCGATCTGGATCTGATCAGAACATGGAAAAACCTGCTCAAAGCTCACATCCTGTCGGGACGAATGCTGACACCAATGTGCCAATAAATCAATTCTGGTTGTGAAGGAAATTCAAAACTGTAGACGAAGAGCAGTTTTTTTTCTGCAGATGGCAGAATCCTCTAACTCCCCAGGGGTTAGTGGAGTGGCTATGAAATTGGGGAATGATGGAATGAGGAAAGCTAAGGTGATTGCAATTCTTGCTGACCAGCGCCAAAAATCCAAATATCGAAGGACATCGCAAGTGCCAAATCAAACCAACAAACAACATAAGTTTCCCCAGTCCTGGATTCTAAAACTCCAGGGTCAAGAATCAACAAACAAAACACCGTCACCATCCGTCACCTAGAAATCCCCATCCAGATCCCAAACTTTGGTTGTTTCCGCCCCTTCAAAATACATCCAATGGGGTTCTACAGTGATTCTGTTTTCATGTGCTCCCAAAGACCGGAGTGGGTCCTTCCCGGAGCATATCACACATGGGCAACCATGTTTCATCACTTTCACATCACTTTCTTGGTTCTACGTGCCATGTTGGTTCTGTATAAATCATACGTATAGTATATACCCTCTGGTAATTTAACATAGCTATTGAAAATCACAATTTTTAATGGGAAAATCCATTATAAATGGTCATTTTCAATAGCTATGTTAAATTACCAGAGGGTAATCCCAAAAAGAGGGAACACTGTGTCCAGAATGGTATTCCGATGATGTTTTACCCATGAATTTCCATCATAATTTACAGGTTTCCAACTTTTCTTTCTGTAAATAGGGGGTTGCTATATATACCATCCAGGTTTCTTGCGGTACCCAACACATTCTATTCTACACTGAGACTGTACCAGTTGTCCTTCAACTGAATGAAGCGATCAGGGTCCAGCCTTGCAAATCACAGGTGCGAGGAGAATTGGAAATGGAAAACCCCTGGGCCCAACTCTTTTCAAGGATAAAACTGATGAAACTCTCCAAATAAAGTTGTTATATAGTAATATAGTTGTTATCTCTCAATTCTGCCAGTTTCGTTGGTATCCCCAATGATCCCCTGACCTCTGAAAGAAACTAGTATTTGTCGGTCAAGATATGTCAACTAATGACATGCCCCCGAAAAGGATTAGCAAATACTTCATAGGGACCAAATTTGAAGATCCATTACTGCCCGCAGACCCGCAAGGTTGACCCATCTCCAAATTCACCCAGCCAGGGAACCGAGAACCATTCATGGTTTCTTCCAGTTGAACTGCTGCCATTAGCAGCAAATGCGAGGCGGCTGGAAGAACGGCCTCTCCCTGAACCTTAGACACCAAAGTTATTTTGGACTGTTCAACAGTGTTCAACATCATACCATTGAAAATCAGTTCAAACTGGATGAACCACAGTAGATTCTTGAATTTTATGACAAATTGTAGTTGCAATTGCAGCAACAACAATTTGGGACTTATGACGTTCCTTCTTTTATGGGCACTTTGGGAGTCACAGTGTGTTCAAGTTCAAAAATTGGGACCTCAAGGATCATGCATGCACATTTTGGGAAGGTAAATTTGATCCTTAGGAAAAAAAGGTATCAAAAATAAATATACATTGAATGATATAAATATATATATATATACACATTGGAGCCTGCTAGATTTGGACACAAACAAATTTTGACCTTACCGTTTCGATGATCCAACCTGACACCACCACTTCAATTCCTGGTAAACCATGTCGCACCTTACTTTTGACCTCATCAATCTGGGTAAATTTGTAACATTTCACCAACCTGAAAAGTTCTGTTGTAGTTTTGGGAAAATTATACCAATCCATGCTAATCCTACACGTCATTTCAAGTGACGTCTCAGCGAATTTGTTCTAATTTACTCAGATCGTCCCAGATCCAAATTCTTGTCATTCCAATCATGCCAATCATCATCACTCCACTGGTAACAATATCCCCTAGCAACCAGCAACCCTAGCAATATTAGCAAATATAAACCCATACGCTCAAACACAATCATCATTCTGGAAACAGTAATTTCATCATAATTCAACAACCTCAAGAGTTCAGCCATTTGGGGATGATTCCCCTTCAAGGTGTGCCCCCCCTTGATGCTTGTTGGTTTATATATATATATATAACCATTGACTATATGTAAACATATGTTTACCATAGACCATATAATTCACCTAGTTAAACTATAAATATAATCCAACCTATCATAAATCCGATTGAATCAGCTATAAATCCCCATGAATTCGTTCTATTTCTTGGTTAAACGAACATGTTCCCATGGTTTCCAAACACCACGGCCTCACGGAACCCTCAGGTCTTCCAGGTCTTCCAGGTCTTCCAGGTCTCCGCGCACGATGCTGTCGAAAGAGGCGCAGAGCCGGAGAGGCCAACTGAGGCGAACTGGGTTTCCGCAAGGTCTTGGAGAAAATCGCCTGGAGCAAGGTCAACCAGAAAAACCATGAAAAACCGCCATCTATGGACATAGTTTCTGACATACCATCCGGAAGTATATATGGTATCTATACATATATATATATATAGATATGTAATCTGACATTCTATCTGACAGTCTTTCTGGCATAGACTTTGACATTCTATCTGACATTCATTGGCATCCTATCTGGCATATATGCCGACATTCTTTCTGGCATTCTATCTGGCATCTATTCTGACAGTCTTTCTGGCATCTATTCTATGATTCTATCTGGCATTCTATGTGGCATCTATGCTGGCATTTTATTATGCCATTCTATTCTTTCCTCCTCTCCTCCTTCTCCTTCTTGTCCTTCTTTCTTGCAGCCTCGGACTACACCCTCAACTGCGAGCGCTAGATCTCAGTGAGCCCTGCCAGAATAGATGCCAGAAAGAAAGTCAGAATAGATGCCAGATAGAATGCCAGAAAGCATGTCAGATACAATGTCAAAGTATATGCCAGAAAGAATGTTAGATAGAATGTCAGCATATATATATATATATATGCACCATATCTACTTCCGGATGGTATGTCAGAAACTATGTCAGAATAGAGTGTCAGGCTGGGGATCACTCGAAGAAAGTGTTCTTATTTTTCTGAGGGAACACTCCAGCTTCGAATTTTGGATCATAGCCATTCGTAGTGGGAAAAGTACAACTTCTTGCCGTGGAAATCGTTTTTTTTCAATGCTGGTAAGTGACTGAGCATGGGAAGCCGACTTTGAACAGTCTGCAGACTATGGTGGAATCGTTGCCAGCTTGGAGTATTGAGAACCGCCAGTGTTACTGTTGGTAACCCCGACAAGAATCTGCTTGGTGGTTTGGTAACATGAATTTCATGACTTTCCATATATTGGGAATTTCATCATCCCAATTGACGAACTCATATTTTTCAGAGGGGTTGACTATGACCACCAACCAGAGAAACTATGACCAGTACCTGAGGAACAAACTGATTTCTAACTGAAACGGTGGCCGATCTTATGAGTAACATCGATGTAACCGCGCCGCAAGCCAGCGAAATGCTTGAGGAATTATCATGATACCTTATGGCTGATTCTGGACGTGTTTGCTAATAGTTTGGTATATTGCAGACACAAGCCCAAACATCTACAATATCTCTGGGTCCATTCTGTTTACCGCGGAGAACAACGAACGAAACGATGGTGAATTCTGCATGTTATTGTTACTCCTACAATTGGGGCAATGTGGGTTGTAGCCCCAAATATCTATTACAAAAGAGAAAACATGATGATTCATAGCTAGACTTGCATGGATATATAGTATAGGTGGAACATATGGGATATAAGATTATAATAGATTATATAAGTAGATGGTGGTTTCTTAAATCATGGGCGATCACCAAGTCACCTTATGGGTGTCAATACCAAGTCATGGTCATCCATGACTTAGATATACTTGGATGATTTCACGGTAATTATCCCAGATTTTTTAAAGGAAACCTCCATAAAATCTGGGTAAATTATAATATTTCACCAACCTGAATGAAGGCCATTTGGGGATGATTTCACTTACATGCCAGATATCATTCATTCCCACCTGCCAGCCACCCATGAATTTTCTTAGTGCCGGACTTGCCCGGCACGAGAGCCAAGGAGAGGATGTAGCAATGGTTTCACCTTGGAAAAGCTCCATGGAGCGTTGTCGCCATGGGTGCCATGGATGCCCAGGATGGTTTTGAAGGAAACTCGAAGGAAAACGTGGAAGACTGAGAAAGACCATGTTTTTGTGCTCATGAAACAGAGTTTTCGGATGTTTTTCGCATTCTTGGAAAGAAACCTGCCAGTCCACCCAACCTGACATCTCCAAATCTAGTGGCTGGTTGGGTCTCCCATTGGATTTCCATCATCCCCATTAAACCGGTGAGTGTAACTGCATATTACTATACAGAACATCAACTAACACGTTTTTTGGGAATTGTTGAAGCACGTCCGAAATACCCAGAAAACTATGGAAACACCCGAAACTTGGCTGGTCTGTAAAGTGCAGTCATCGACTAAACTTGGGAGAACTGACATGACAAAGGAGCATGTTCGGAGAAATGCCATAGCCATCTTGGTGTCTTAAGAGAATTTTCTTTCATCCCATGATTTCATACATTTCCGTTTCCATGATTATAATGAGCCTCAGTTCCTGATCACTTCATCCCATCTCAGGCTCTTACCCAGGGCACAGAGTGAGGGTGGCAAACGTCAGAAATCCTTCTGCTCACCGCAGCCCCCTGTGACAGAGCAGGGACGGCATGGTGGTCTCACCAGACTTCAGGACTCCAAAGGTCCAGCATCTTCGCACTCGGACAAACTCGCCAAACTGTTTTCATCAACCCATCCCAAGCAGGTTCCATTATGATTTCAGTTTCGTGTCAAGTAGGAAATAATATTTCAAAAAACATCGAAGAGCTATCAACCACGTTTTTCGAGAATGTTTGGTCAATTGTGTGTTCTGATAATTTAGTCCAACTTAACTCCTCTTAGTACTCTGGCACATTTATTGCATAGCTATGTGCCAACATCAATCCAACTGAAATGATCAAAAATAACGTTTGTTTTTTCAACGGCGAATTGTTTCATGGTTCTAATCATTCTAATCCCTATCATGGTTAAGTTTCCATGTTTGATGTTACAAATGTTCAACATGTATTTCAACCATCCAAACCTCCATCGTTTCCAATTATCCCAATCATGTTTCCATATGATAGCTGAAAATATCCAAATATCCCAATCAGTGTTTTGCAAATATCCCGTTAGATAGCTGAACAGCAATGTTGTTTCCAGCATTTTCCAGCCATCCAAACCTCCATCGGATGACGGAACGACTGAACGGCGCCTGCAAAGCGCGTCCCACAGAGAGCAACGTCTCGGTCTCATGACGCTCCAACCTTGGCTGAACGAGCAACGTCTTCCGGGAACATAGAATGAACAACTGGATCTATTATGTATTGTGCGTCTATATACATGTATATATATATATATGTGATCGCAAACCACATATATATATAGGTACTTTATACACTATATACATGAATGATATATATATATATATATATATCATGTCATATAATATATATTATATTATATTATATTATATTGTATTATATTGTATTATATTATATTATATTATATATCATATCATATTATATTATATTATATTATCATTTCTATGATGGTTTAGAACAGGATTGTGGTGGATCCGGTGAATATATATATATATAAGTTCCATTGGTTGCCCTATTTCATGGGATATTTGGCCCAAAGTTGTGCCAGTGGAGATCATCCAGGTTGAACAGGAAAAAATACAATCGAAACAACCAGCGGCTTCAGTGCAATGTATAGATATATACCATATACATCCCAGAAACCAGAGATAATTACTATGTAATCAGTGTTACATTAACTATGAAATACCTCTCGGAGTGGATGGAACCACCTTAAGACATGGTATATAGTTGAAGCAAAAAAAATGGAGCCAGGGACGGCGGTCGGTTCCCCTTGCTGCTCCAGCATTGGCAAGCAACGCAAAATTGCAAAGGGATGGACGCGCAGCGACAAGAGAAACGCAGCACGCGCCTTGGCGCGCGCGGCTCTGTGCCGCGATCCTGAAGCAAATTTGCGGCGTGGCCACGTCATGCAAGGCAGACATTATAATAAGAGTTACCATCAGGAATAGACGACATCTGAGCTGGGGACAAGGTTCGAGCAGACGAAGACCGGGCCCGGAGCAGGTGCTGCGCCACTCTTCACGTTAAAATGGCTTGTGACTGCTTGCGATGTAAATGCATGTGCTTACAAAGCAGAAAAGAAGAAACAGAAGTACAATCCAAGGCAGAGACCGACGGCGGCTTGGGAGGTGGCACCCTCAAGGCAAAAGATTTGGCATTCAAAGAAACACAAGGCTAAGACTGTCATGATTCATGTGATGGCGATTGAGGACGCGACCGCTCCAGTATCGGCGACAAAAATTCACCGCGGCGGCGCGGTGCCTGCACGACCAGGACCAGGAAGGTTTGTTTTTGACATGCACTGTCAATGACGCTGCCTTTTGCCGCCGATGCTGCCAGGGGTTCAAAGGCACCTGACAGGGCCTGCACCGCGTCTTGGAGCTCGTCCATGAGGCCTGATTCTGCAAGACGTAGTCCTGTCAGGAAGGGATATAGCAGCCGCCCTACTTCCCAACCCTTGCTGACAAAGCAAGCAGCCGTGCCTGGAGGGGAGTCGGCTCCTGGCATGCAGCAAGGCAAGCGATTCAGGTGCACACGGTGCACTTGTTGGTGCACAATTCCAGGCACGCGCCTCCTCCAGGGCAACATCTGCCCAGCGGCCGCTGAACATCGTGATGTCGCCGATGCAAGCCATTGCCTGGGTGACCGGCGATAGATATACAGGCAGAGAAATGGAGCAAAGGGGCGACGCCTGCGCGGACAAAGGGAAACAAGAGAAAGACGGGTGTAAAGCTTGAAAGTCAGCTTAAAAGCTTGAAAGGTGCTGCGGACAGGTCACATAATGAGGTCGCAAAGGTTCAAAATGCACAACCATGGTAGGTTCATTGCAGGATGCAAACGTATACGGATCGTCTCTCGGGCAATGATGTGATAGCCCAGTTTCAGTGCCCAGTGTTACAACACAAGTACCACGGGATCCTCTACAAAAAACAACAATGAAAGAAATGCTATAGCTGCTATTCATGCCGAAATATCTTTGACATTGTGATATCACATAAGATTTTCGGAATATATCATATTATATACAATCCAAACACTGTATAAGAATTCCTTGTATAAGAAAATGAGGGGCTGGATTGTTTTGCCGCATATATGTTTTGTGGAATATATATGCGAATGGAAGTTAAGAAATTGAGGGACCCTGGAATTTTACAGGCTAAGAAATTTAGAATTATGTGAAGGAGCCCCTTTGCCCCCCTGCTCAATTTTTCTTGACCGCGAAAAGGTTTAGGAGATTCTATTTGGAGCGGGAAATGGAGCCAGCCTCCCTTGCAACCGAATACCCGCCAAAATGAATTTTGCACAACCATGGCATTGGTTGGGAGTGACAAGCAAGGGGGACAGGACCAACCAAGATTCAAGCCGCTACACGGTCACCAAGGCTGCTGGCAATAGCTTCAGCCAAACACCAGCCAGACTCACTGTAGGTCATCTGTGTCCTTGGCTTGTGTTGCCTTGGCTTGCCCTGGCTTGCCTTGCCTTGGGTAAGGGTTGAATTCAATACATAGCTAAGAAATCCAGCCCCTCAATTTCTTAACCATGTGAGGGAAAAGCACTTGCAAAAGGAAGGACAAGCCAGAAGAGGTTGCTCTTTGGCTGAAAACGTGGCACTTGTACTTCCGTGAGCTTGTTTGCAGAAAGCCACAGTTCGTCAACTTACCAAATCAGCCAGCTGAAGACTTGACTTGGGGAACTTATCTTCCCCACTGCCGGTTCAACTGCGACACCACTGGCATTGATTCTTTGCATGTCTGACTTGTCTTTTTCCTGAAGCCAAACATGCTGGGAAGCTCGGATGTGTCATATTGAATACTACATAAAGAAATTGCTAAGAAATTAAAAGACCCTCGACCGGATAATTGTACATTTATACTGACATACATAAGGCCTTTCCGATAAGAAATTGAGGGACCCTGGCCATCGGCAACCAACATTCTTATATAACGCTCGCGCTATATATATATATATATATATTATATATATATACACATCAATATTTGATAATTTTCATGCAGTATACTCTCACTATACATAAAAAAAAACACATAGGATTTTCGGCTTTTCCTGCTTCCGATCCACATGTTGCATCATGTTGCTATGGTTTTCCAGCCACTAAAAGGACGACCGGAAGCGATCTGAGACGTGTGACTCCAGGCTGGTGAGCCATCGATCTCCAGCCTGGTGAGCAGTGCCAGAGATCACAGGGTTATTGTGAATTTCCTGTCAAAATATGATAATGTAATGGTCAATAAATATGTATATTTAAATAACACTACATATAATATATATGTATATATATATAATAATATATTGTATATAATACATAGAATAGATTAAATAAAAAATAATATATATATATAATATAGTATTCAATATATAATATATAATATGATACATAACATAATATAAAATATATAACATATAATATATAATATATAATATACAATATATAATAGATAATATATATTTATATAATACATAATATAAAATATATTACATATAATAAAAATAATATGATACAATATAGATAATATAATGTATAAAATACAATATATTAGAGAAACATGAAATGTAATATAAACATATCTAATACGTAATTTAAAAACAAATATAATTATATAGAATAATTTAATATATATATATAATATAATATATTGTTATGTTTCAAAAAATATAAATAATATATTATATATATATATATTATATAATATACTATAGAATAAACCAAATATAATATAATATATATAGTATTAAATAAAACATACATAATATATAATACATAATACATAAAATATAATAATGTAATATTAAATCAATATATAAAATGTGAACATATTATGTATATATATATATACAAAAAATCAAATGATCAGAACGATCATTCCCACTTCAGTCTCATCATTATGATCGATATGATCCATCAATATCTATAATGATAATTCCTAGGAACACATTCCGATGTTGAATTACCATTATTTTTATTACATCCTGCAGTCGGACTTTAAGATGCATATTCCCCCAGCTGACTGGTCGAGCCTGAAAATGGCCAATTGAGGAAAGAGTGGCCGTCCAAGACTCTATTTGCCAAGGTCTTTAACTTAGTTCTGAGAGTCGGGGATGGTATACCTAGTGAAAAATGTCTGGATAAAGGCTCAATAAACTTTTTCTGGGAAAATGCTCGCCACCACGTACACTCGGGTCGCTGTCTGGCGACAGTCTATCACGTCAAACATGCCCTGCTGTTTGGTCGTTCCAACCATCACCCCCCAAGAAAAAACAACATGTCATCAGCGATCACCAGAGATCATGATAGGAAAAAAAAAACATGCTAGAAAACAACACCAGCATGGTGTAGTTTGGGCCTCCAAATCTCCATAGTGGATGGTTTCGTTTAGTCAATATTATGGCCAGTAATGATTTGATGGGATTGCTGTAATGTGGGGCCCCAGAGTTGTAAGTTGGTTCATAAACCAAAGTCACTAGTCATAAGTATCACAAACCATAGTTATAGTTATTGAGTTATAAACCTCTAGTGAGCCCCACTTTGTGGCGGGTGGTCACCAAGCTCTTGGGCATGGGCCTAGACTCGCTGGGTACCCACTACCCTCGATTGCTTAGAGAACTCATCCAAGTACAAAACTGTTGGGTAAAACACTTTTAAAAAAAAACCTAACATCTTAGTCTTAGTCATTAAACAACACTAACATCTTAGAAACTCCTAGAAACGTCTTAGTAAACTTATAAAAACTTACGAGTATGTTTTTTTCTTTTGCATACTCAAGGTCGCCATCTTCGCACCCTAAAAAAAGAGGGTGAGTCGAGCCAACTTCACGGCCCCCGGCACCTGAGAGAACGTCCGAGCCATCTTGGCCAGCCTGGCTGCGGTGAGATGTTCAGCCATGTTTCCATATCTATCCAGTGATTTATCTACGTATCACATATGTATATATATATATATTATTACTTCACCATAGCTTTATCTATAGTATCCATACTTATCCATATTCGTACATATGTCCATTTGTTTCCATTGATTGGTAGGGTCATGGCTTCTTCTAGACGACAAAATTTGCAGCTGACCAAACATGCTGGCGTCACACCGGCTGAGGACCTTAAAGAAGTGCACGTTTGGTGCTGCTCCCCAGTGACGTTCGGTTTCGTTTCAAATCACGAGGTGTATATATACATACATATGTATTATATGTGTATATATATATATACATATTATATCTACCATTAAAAAAACATATGAAAACTATAGAAGTCACATGGTGAAGTGTTTACCAACTTAGATCCATATTTTTTTCAGATCAATCACCGCGAAGAATCCGCAGGCGAGGTTGTAGCTCAGCTCTCAACCGACTTCCAGGAAATGGCTGCAGCCAAGGCTTTCCAAGACTTTGACCTTGGCCACGAACGAATCTTGGGAATTCTTGGGATATTACAGGGATCCAATAGGATATAAACAAACATATGCATATGTATACAATATATATATATATATTATACATTGTTATGACATGTTATGATATGTTATGATGTATTGTGATATGTATATGATACGTTATGGTCACATATTGCAAGTCTGCAGGGTATTACAAAGAAAACAAACAGGACAACAAATCGGTTCAACCCTTATTTCTGCGGTTCCTCGTCAAAAAAACCAGGCAAACATCCCCTAGTTCACTGGTAAATGATGGTTCATCCACCCAAAACATGGTATTTCATAGGTCTTGAAAAAAACACAACCTGGTTCCCCGGGCCCCAAATATGAGACAACTGTTGGGGCCCCAAACCGCACCCAGAAAGTCCACGGCCTTGGAAGTGTCATGGCCTCGGCGCAGGTATCAAGTCCCATGGTACTGGTTGGTTAGTAGACCCATATGCTCCATGGTGCTGGAATATTTACCAACATTTGCCCTAAAAATCACCCAAATGTAGGTAAATATATCATACAGTACATGGAGTGTATGGGACATATTATGGGATTGAAATATTACCGTGCTTGCTTATGGTGATTGATTAGTAAGAACTGGTTGGTATTCTGCACTGGATTAGTTCATCCAATGAAACCAGCACCCCTCACAACAACCTATGAACAGCCGTGGAATCCGAGAATCTTCCGGCTCCTACTTGGAGGATCACAGCCATTAACAGCTCAGTAACAGCATAGTTGTGATATACACATATAAAATTATTTACGTATAATACTATATAAATAATTACATATCTTATATATATAACATATTATATTTTATAATGTATATATATATACATAATATTCTATGGCTATACAATTATATTATATAAATTACAGTAATGAGATAACAAACTTCGGGGACTTACGAGTACCATGGTATGATACGCCAAAAGAGTGAGCCCAATGGGATCCAAAAAAAGATCCTGGCACTCCCAATAAGTCGGTGCTGGGGCAACCCCACTAAGCCAATATTCTTTCTCTGTGACTTCCTGTTTCACAACTGAAGCGCTCATGCAAGACACCTTGGGGCGCGAGAATGTATCAGGAGCTATTCCAGTGTTTGGGATCGAAAAAGAGCTGGTTGGGGAAAATGAAGCCCCTCATCGTCAAGTAGCAGCTCCCACATAGAATAAGATGAGCTGGAAATTATGCGCGGGAAACATATGGAAATAGGATCTATATGTTTGTTTTGTTATATTGTTTGGGGGACCCCTATTTCACCTACAAAAAAGCGTTCAAACTGGATAGATGTCAGCCGATATCAGAGCAACGCCGCACACATCACCATGACCTGTGTCGCTAAGATGTCGACAAAGGTCACTGCAGGTGGGGCAAACTTACAGGTCTTGCGGCAAGGTGCAGGGTTTGCGAAGCGTTGTCTAATGGTTTCAATCCAAAAAAAATGGCCAGTTGGGGTCATGATCCCAAACATGGTTGAAAACATACACATGTTTGACCAGTTGAAACCAACAACCAGTGGCGCGTGTATATTTATATTATATGGGTAGCCATATATAAATACATATCTCATCACTTCAACCAATTCTTCCACCTATAAACCCGCGGCAAATGGCGTCCTAAAGCCAAACGCACGCGCCCAACCTTGAGCTCTTCCTTCATTCCTTAGCAGGTGATGAAGTCCATCGTCTTTAGAAGTGTCTCAAGCTCCTATGGCCACAACAAAAAATAGAGCCAATACATTCCAAAAGGTGGGGGGTAACCTATCCTGGTGTCCAAAATATGTTTGTCAGTTGGGGGTCATTCATCCAAAAATAGAGAGTTGAACAGTTGAACATGTTAAAGATATGTTTGAGACCACCAACCAGTATACCTAGACCCTCCAAAAGGTATTCGGTATTCTACCCCGTGATTCTAGTACATTTACTTTTATCATCTTTTATCTATCTTCATGGGCACTTGGAGGTCTAAGTACTATAGATATCTATATAGGTACCATGAAATGTGGATCTCTTTAAGGATTTCCAGAGAGACTTCTACCGCCTAAGATTTTTGGATCAGGACGGGACAGCCCCAGCCTTCGAGGACGGGAGAGAGCAGCTTGGAGTGCATGGCATATGGCCTTGGTAATGGATAGATGATTTACGTCGTTTACTGGACAGCAACCATATTCACACGGCAGTTAGACATGGAAAATCCTCAGTCATATGAACTATCCCCAGTTCCGTCGAATATTATATATCCTGGGATGTACATCCAAGTACACCATGAATTTTACTCATCAAAACTGATGATACACCAAAAAACATCAAAAAAAGGTTTCTATGCGGCAAGATTTCAACTATGCGTCAATAGACATTGGCAACGTAGCCAACGAGGGTTTACTCCAATACCCGGACCTAGAGAGAACCAAGGCAAAACATGCTAGGTGGGGCCACCTAGACAGCCTGGATTAGAGCTCCAATAACTATGATGCTCTATGGAAAGTATAACTACCAAGCCCCAAGTACCTGCAAACATGGTGTTTTAACCCATAGTACTTTTACCATTTGGAGGGTCTATAGGTATATAATATACTTAATGGATCTTAATGGATCTTAATCGGTGTTACAGATGAACAAACCACCCGTGTGGGCCCGGATTTTTTTCTGGCCGGGCATCAAGACAAGTCTTCCTATTCCACCAGTACAATCCAATGAACTGCCATCAATCACACTTTTTGTCCTCTCGCAATCTATTGTGTCTCGCATTGGTCATTGTCTCGACTGTGCGTCACCAAGTTGCCGAATAAGGGCAACCAAGAAAGCACAGTAAGCAACAGGTGACTGGGCTAACAACAATGGTTTGAACAAGTTCCGAAATAAACGCGTAGAAGAAGAAGATGTTATGCGAAAGCAATGGACAAGCAAGATGAAACAACTTGAATACCCCGAGCAAAATACAGCAAATGCAGCTTTTGTTGAGGTTTTGTTGTTTGGTTCGATACCTAGACCCTCAATGAACCCATAGAAATGGGTATTCTAGTGTATAATTCTACCCCAACTTCTTGGTATACATACTTTCCAAATCATTCACCCATTTTAGTTGCTAACAACCGGAACATAACCTGAGGACATAGCTTCTTTCACCCATTTTCACGGGCACTTTGAGGGTCAAGGATCACGACTTGCTCCCCAGCCACCACGTCACGTTGAGTAAGAGTCAGTCTCAGCTCAGCTGCTTCTCACTGAAACTCAGCCGACACTGCGCACAGTAGTGAGCGCAACGGGAACGCAACTGCCGAAACATCCGCCGCAAACGTGGTGCCGATCGTATTCACCGGCTCCAAACAATCCCGACATCGAAAACAGCATGATTTGAGTCCAATCCCACTTCTGAAACTGCTTGATGAAGCTACAGAAAATGGAATTTATTGAATTTCCAGATGTCAAGGGCCTGTGGCAGAAATGGATCTGCGAACATCTGGGAACATCCGGGCTGAGTGCCTCTCGGCCAGAGGTACATCCCCGGGAACGGTATCGAACTTGCACCAACCGCGGCTCTTGATTTCTGTCAGCCTGGGAAGATTCCTGCAGGTAACCAACAGATTCATGAGCTGCAGCACGAGCTACATCTGGCTGAATTCATTGGAATGGTGCATGTCGCACGATGGGAACCTGCGTGGTCGGATCTGAGAGGACAGGATTTTTTCAAGCGAGTTGGGAAACTCATCAGGCGAGATCTTTCAGTTGGCATGGGTTCAATATTTTTTTTGCCTCTCAGTGGTGCCGAAATTGACTTTGCAACGTGTAATCTTAGAAATATGCTTCAATATGCTTCAATATGCTTCAATAGTATGCGTTGCCTGAGGCCTCTGCTCCCAGAGTAGGTTAGGGGCCATAGAGCAACAATCAAGTTGATGCCATGTCAACATGATATGTGACATCAGTGACATCTCCCTGCCTTGGTTGAGAGCTCCAAGCATGCAAAGATCAAGCACGCCATCATCGCCACCCGTCCATGTTTGAGTTCTGCTTCTGCCATCCAGCGTCGTCCCTTTGGAAGCCAGCATGACATGGGCATTTCGACGTCCTGCGGCGGCTCTATGAGGTGGGCTGCAGATAGGCCTTCAGGATTCAATGAAAGGTAAATTTAAGCAGGAACCACCCTTCAAATGCTTTTTCCCCACCTGCCAGGTGAGGGTTGTTAGATTTTATGTCAGTTGCCTCCTCCTCCTCCTCCTTCTCCTCCTTCTCCTCCTCCTTCTCCTCCTCCTCCTCCGCCTCCTCCTGCCTCGTCCTCCTCTCCTCCTCCTCCTCGTCCTCCTCGTCGTCCTCGTCGTCCTCGTCGTCCTTGCTCAACTGCGACCCGCGATCCACAGTGTTCTCTGCCGGACCTCAACCACGACCATCCACGCCCAGTGTTCCCTGCCGGACCTCAACCACGACCATCCACGCCCAATGTTCCCTGCCGGACCTCAACCACGACCATCCTGTTCCCTGCCGGAGTGCTCCCTGCCGGACCTCAACCACGACCATCCACGCCCAGTGTTCCCTGCCGGACCTCAACCGCGAGTATCCACGCCAAGTGTTCCCTGCCGGACCTCATGTAGGAAGATATGGGACAAAGAATGTGCAGAAGAAAGTTAGAAAGAATGTCAGAAAGAATGTCAGAAGATATGCCAGAAGATATGCCAGAAGATATGCCAGATAGAATGCCAGATAATATGCCAGAAGATATGCCAGATAGAATGCCAGATAGAATGCCAGAAGATTTGCCAGATAGAATGCCAGAAAATATGCCAGAAGATATGCCAGATAGATATGTCAGAAGATATGCCAGAAGATATGCCAGAAGATATGCCAGAAGATATGTCAGAATATATGCCAGAAGATATGTCAGATAGAATGCCAGAAGATATGTCAGAATATATGCCAGAAGATATGCCAGATAGAATGCCAGAAGATATGTCAGATAGAGTGCCAGAAGATATGCCAGATAGAATGCCAGAAGATTTGCCAGATAGAATGCCAGAAGATACGCCAGAAGATATGCCAGATCATATGCCAGAAGATATGCCAGATAGAATGTCAAATAGAATGTCAGAAGATATGTCAGATAGAATGCCAGAAGATTTGCCAGTAAGAAAATGTATAAATGTCATGGTGGGGATCACACGAAGTAAAGTAATTTCCACACTGCTTTTTTAGGGATAAACAAAAACTATAGGAAACATTGCAGAAAGGTATCCTCATGTATCCTCCATTGTTCTATATTTGCCTCACAAAAACTAGTGCCAAAATGGTGGAGAATTATCCCAGTCAATAACTGGCTGGTAAGTCGCTGTGGATGATGTAAAAGGTTTTGCACCACATTAAGTCCCTTGAGTCAGCTTGTCAAAAACAAAGAGTAGGAGGTTTAGCCCGTTTTTCCCCCCAAAAATGATCAAACATGGTAATCAAGTCTACTTGGCTGTGAGATGATGAAACGCTCCATGGTACCACCCCCAGCCCCTTCCGGCGGCAGCGGCGCATCCTTCAGGTTTAAAGGGTCGAAGCCGTAAAATCCCGGTGGCGACTCAGGCGTCTTGGACATCTCAGGCACTGCAATGGCCATAGCTCCCACGGCCAGCGCCAAACCGAAGGGGAAATCGCCTGGAACCAGGCCTGGAGCCAGGATCACCGCTGTTTCATGGTTATTTGTGTATATTTTTTTTGCTGAATCATAATTAGATAAATATTTATAAACCAACTTAGCTAACTATGGGATACTATACAGTGGGACCCATATGGCATATACCTTTAATTACCCAAGTTTAAAAGTTAGATTCACTGACAGTCTGTATATTCTTATTTATACAGTATATTACAGTCTTATACTATCCTCTGGCTGACCGGCCAATCAAAGTGTTTTTTGTCGAAGTCTTTCGGGTCATTTTGTGGGTCAAGCCATAATCGTATGGCTCGATTGTTGGTATGGACAAGTACATCTGAAAACACGGAGCTTCAAACTTTACCCCAGAACAAGACCAAAACATAGAGACTAACAACACATTGCCAGCGCTAGTCCAGGAATGATATGACTTGAGCTTTTGCCTAGACCCTGCAAAGTACAAAAGAACAGTAAATGTAAAAAGGTCTTTCAAGATCTTTCTAGCAAATACCAAGTGTCATGGGTAGCTTGAAGTAGATTCACATGGTATTTTGAGAAGGTTGTAAGCATTGGGCAACCCTCACAGCAAAAATGGCACTGCACTTATTTGGAGATCTCCATAAAGTCAACACGTCTCCTGGGCGATGTCCCTTGCAGTAAGCGTCTCGGCCTTGGGTCTCAGCAAGGACGGAGTCGAGCTCTGACAAGGGCCAAAGCAGCACCGAAACCATGGCGATGCGCGAATGCTTCAACTCAGCCTCTTGCATCCATCTAAAGGTCGCCAAGTCCTCAGAGTCTCTCAGAGTCTCTCAGAGTGCTAGTAGATGTTGATTGATGTTGACTGGTCTGCCTCTATATTTTGGCTGCTGTTTTAAACCTGATTCCATAAGGCATCTTTGATGTCACATGACCTGACTGAACTTTCGCCTGTGGCATACTGGAAGTGGCTCCCCCAACCACGTCCAACCACTACTTTGGTGCGCATCCAAGTTGTACTAAAGTGATTGCAACATATTAACAATTATTTCTGGTTTGTAGGTCTCTAAATTAACAGGTGTCCTGTATATCATTGACTACTGGGCTAGTTCCATGCATATTATATCCTCTTGCCATCTGACATGGAGATCCCAGAAATCCCAAAAAAAACCTAATGGTATGCACTTCCCCAGAAGAAAGATCTCTTCATATTTGGTGTTTTTTTGATCTCTTCATTTTGGAGTCACTTTCTGAGGGAATGGGATTAGAATGTCATCTGCCTGTTTCAACTCCCGGAAACATGTTTCGATGGTATCTTTGCTTTCGCAACCAAGGTCTACACACTTTATAGATTACAAAATCCCATTGAAATGCCGTTCAATTGCCATTAAATCCCAAAAAAAAACAATTGAATCCCAGTAAATTGCCATGTAATCCCAATACATTGCCATTAAAATTACAAAACAAATGCCATTAAAATACCATGGTCACCGCTGGCTCCGACTAAAACCAAGGAACTCTTGCGAGACTGGCGGGATCAAATCCTGCATCACCTGGAACGTTGACGATGAACTCGCGATACTTTGGCTGAGGCAGGAACCTCGGTACAGTCATGGCCCAACTAACAGTTGTAAATGGCATGAACTAACTCCTGCACCTAAGATTACATACAAATAAATATCACTTAAACGAGCTTATAAGTCAATTATACTTATATAGTCTATAGTTATAACTGTTAAGGGCTATAACTTATAGTTACAACTGTTAAGGGCTATAACATGCTATAGCTGTATGAGTCTACCAAGAAGATACAACAACAGGGACTATTTCATTGAATTTAATGGGATATGATGGAATCTATTGGGATATAACGGGATATTATGGATGTGTTTGAGATATAATGGGATATTACGGGATTTAGATTCATGGGGAGAGACCCCTTTAAGTAGCAACTTCAAAAAAGGGAAACTGATCATGAAGAATGGGATTTAGAGGTTACCAACTTTGAGACAAAGCTGCTCCAAAAATGGTCCCTGATCATGGCTAAGACATGTTGAGGATAAATGGGACGCATCGGAATAATAATATGATGAAAAAGGGAATAATATGATTAAATAATATGACTAAATAATATGATTAAACAATATGAATAAAAAAAATATGATTGAAATATACAACAGTAGGAATACCAATAAAAGTAAATCATAGTCATATCGTCCTAATCATAAACCATCCCCAAAATCATCATAAAAAGGGTCCTATAAACCATCCCCAAATGGTTGACACCTAGGAAGACAAGGTGCTTTACCCGCAACTTAACCCTATCTCCGGATAATCTGATTCCAGGGTAAACTGCGGTTAATAAGAAAAGCAAGGTTCATTATTGGTTGTCCCACATCACAGCAATTATATTGAAAGCTATCAACCATCCCTGACTCCTCAGCATCATTGGCAATGAATAAATATGGTTCACTGTCAGAATTCAAGACCCAGCCTTGAACATCACGTGGATACTTTCAACATCTTTAACAGTCAACTTAGGACCTAGACTCGAATCACAAGTGCCTTTGACCCTCACTGGGGAAACGGGGAACCGATTACGATCGATACGATCGATACCTGACCAAAGGAACGGTAGTGCTGCTGGTTGTTCCAGTGCTGCGGATGCCTCATGGATAAAAATTGGGTCCGTCCACTTTATCTGGTTGGTTTTTTGTTCATTTCATTCACGTGGAAATAACTGATCTGATCATGATATATGTGTTTTGTTCATTAACTGATTTATAACATAATCTAATATGCTCTAACATGATCTAATATGATCTATCCAGTTGTTTTAATGTTTTTTATCGATGCAACTCCAGCCCTCTAATCCGATCCATCTTCCCACCATTCGAAACAGGCCGGCCGTCCTCCAACCGTCTTCGCAAACTTTGGTCCGATGAAACGTCCACATCAACCGATGTCTTCACATCTGGGGATTCCTCGCACCCAAAGGTGCCCGTAGAGAGCAAAATGGGACCCATCTCCAAGAGAAATCCAAAACAGCGACAAATGGGAGGAGAAACAGTAGATAAGCTGACTGATTACGAAGAAACTAATACAAACACATACGCATATTTAGTTTTAATTGAGCATTCCGAAATCAAGAAGAAAGATCCTTTTCTCTTTTGTTGAAACGACCCATCCAGTGGCCCACATTCTTGCACAAAGCAGGATGTGTCTAGCATTTTGCTTAGGCATTATATATATATATATATCGTACCTGTTGCAATGTGGCTGGTGACAGCTTTCAAATAATTAGTTTCTTGAGGCACACTATGCTATCCATATCTACCAAGACTTATTGCCATCATCACCAGTAGGATTGATGAACACTGCTGTGGATTAAGACGCCAACAGGTATCGCAACGACAATATCTTTAGTTAGTGTTGGTTCTCGCCGACGACACACCTATGAGGGTGATACATCCTATTGCTAGAAACATGTTTGGTTGAACATTTAAGCCCCCTGAAACATATTGACATATTGTATCAATCCATCAACATCACCATCATATACCATCATATACCATCATATACCATCATATACTATCATACATCATCAATACCATTATCATTATCATCATCATCATCATCATCACAGGTAGGATGAAGGGGAACCATATCTACAACACAGGCATCTTTCTTGGTAATTTAGTCACTTTCAGCATTTTTTCAGCGATAAACATACAAACAGATTGTCGTCAAGCTTGGTTCAGTTGTTCAATTTGTCCCATGGAAGTGCGAGACATGATCTACACAAAGGAAATGATTGGTCAACACCCAATCAAATTATTGGAATAGCAACATTGGTGCGACTGAAAATGGCTACACCCAATTTATGGCCGCAACTCATGAGTTTTCCCCAACTGGTCAACTAAGCTCCCCAGAGTTATTGCTTCTAAATCCATCAGTACTTTAGATGGTAAACATCTACCAGTTGCCATTGATTCCCTGCTTCACTTCAAATCCCCTGAAATTGCCATGAAATCCAAGTTTTTAGATGGTCAAAAAGTCAAAAACCATTAAAAAAAAACAGCGGTTTCAGGAACTAAACCCAGCACTTTCCCACCAGCCGTCCTCCTGGTCCCCTCGACTCATCAGCGCGGAGTTCATGCTCCGTTCTCCACGTCTCCGGGCGACCGCATGGGCGCTAAGCCCCACGGCCACGCCGAGGCCCGCCTTAGAGATAAACCAGGCGCCACTTGGATCAAACAGCGGTAAAAAGAGTCCATTTTTAGCCATAACTGGTGGAATATACTCCATAGTTTTGGTAACTTTTAGTACTTTTTAGCATTTTTTGCCCTAGTTGGAGGGTCTTTGGAGGGTCTGGCCGGTTGTTTCATAGATTCTATGGGATTATATATATACTAGTATATATATATATATATATATTAATCACTATATATCAACATCAACAAATGATCAAGAATGGGCATTTCGAAGAATCATAGGAGGTCCGTCATGGTTTGTTTACCAGGCCATGCAACATTCCCTGTTACAATAAATACAGATTATTCAACAACCCCAAACCTTGACCATACAAAAAAAAAACGGTGGGTTTTTGAGGACTCACACGGCGACGTCGACGGATGAACTGCTCAACTGGGCTCGTGGATACCCATGCAATCTTCGGTAATCCTCCCAATCAAACTATGAAAACTGAGTTTTTTTGGGAAGCCCATGTTCAAACAATCTCAACCGATCAACCCCTCCGAGCCACTCTCTGCACCAGTGTTGTACATGTCCCGCAGAAGGGGCTTGCGTGCGGCGCATGCCTCCCATGGCCTCCGAAGTGAGTTCTGCATTGATTCCCATTCTCAGGGTTTCAAGGCCCGCAAAACAGGCCTTTCATGTTTAAGGTGTTGATTTCCACATAATTCCCATGCATATCCATACTCCGTACCCTTCGGTAATTCCACAAAGCTCTGAAAACCACGGCCCACGATTATCACGATTGTTTTTTTTCTATATACTTAGATGGGCCATGGAGTTAATTAATTGGTTAATAAGTGGCTTCTGACCAATCATACCCCAGTTAGCTGATAAAAACCACTTATTAACCACTTACAACCAACTCCACAGCTCATCAAAGTACAACTCATGTTGGTAAAACAATCATAAACCATCCCATTTCATCCAATTTCACATTTTTTATAGGTAGTAGGTGGTATAAACCATTCCCAAATGGATGTTAAATGGTATAACATATTATGTTCCATCCATATGTTATAACTTATACCATATTACCATACTATTGTTATACCATATTACCCAAACATTATCTGGTTGGTGCTTTCAATCCCTCGGAAAAATGATGGACTTCGTCAAATAGGATCATCCTCCCGTTGGGGAAATTATCCCAGCCATGTTCGGGCGCCTTGAGGAAGCACTGGTGATGCTCCAGGTCCCGCCTCCGGCGCTCCGATCTTAATAAACGACGCTCCGGGAGCCATAGAAAATGGTGCCATTAATATACCCAATATAATGTGTATATATTTACATACACACATTGTATGATATCTGTAACATGTATATATATATATATAATGTTATATATATATTTCTGCCTCTGCTGTTTTTTGGGGTACTTGGAGGCTCTAGGAATAGATTTAGAGTTATGCTACAAGTTTATCCCTTCAATGGGAAGATGTTTCGGAGAAGAAAACGGAGTATTCAATGGTCAAGTCGCCGGGCTGGAAAATCCATGCGGAAATGACCAAACTTTGTGTCATGAAATGTCATGAGCCAACCAAGCATGAAAATGGGTCAAATCCGGCACAAAATGGATGGTTTAAAACTTAAGTGACCAGCATCTGCGAGTCTGGGATAGTCTGGGTCTTGTCTGAAGTCTTGATCCATTCCCGTGTAACCATTGTAACCCATACCTGTATCCAATTCAATGTGCTTCCATCCAACAAGCTCAGGCTTGCCTGTTGGGCCCTAGGGATGATCTATATATCAACTTTACTGGGAGCCACTAGAGGCTCCATGGAGCCCACCAGATCTCCGTTCTCGAAACCCCCGACCGTTCTCCTGCCTGAAAGGCAGCAGGCGAAGTAAAACTCAGAGACATCGCGCCTCTTAGGGAACGAACTTCCCCCTGTACTCTCTGTTTGTACCCAGCAAAAATGGTGGAATATACTGAATATACCCCATAATTGCCATAGTTTCATAGTTTTAGTACTTCATCATGTTTTACCATATTTACCATATAATGATTTAGTATTTTTATGTAATTTTACCATCATTTTACCATTTTTGAGGGATTTGGAGAGTCAATCTGAAATTCTTCGAGATGGGACATCAATCCATCAAGCATCCGATTTTTGGGGCTGGAGGTTGTGCCAAACAAGTCCTGTTTGGAAGAAGATGCTAAAAGGATGTGGTACTATTGATAGATAAAGATAGATAAAGCATAGAACGTTGATAAACATGGGGCAAATATGGGCAAATGCACATCATGATCCCAACATCCCAGAATCACATTGTCATCTACACTGGCTGGTTGATGTTCTTTCCGCCACCACATCTGCCTTGCCTGACCCAAAGCCGCGAACAAACAACGGCTGCACGGTCCCACCGGTCGACAAGTCTAATCTCTACAAGTCTAACTAAGTGCAATCTAGAACCCAAAAGCTGCAACACTCAGGGCGTTCAGACTGAGATTTCGAGGATAACTGTCACATCTTCAGCATTCAGAAACGACCACTTGGCAGCTGGGATGAACTTGGACGCTGGCGACTTCAAGAGCTTGCTTCTTCCACGGAACTGCTGGCAAATCTCCTGAACCGGTTAGGAAAACATTTGGTTATGGGTCAAAAGCCTGGTTACTTGGATGGTACCCTAAGTCATAACTGATTATTTTTTCAGCCATCTTGGTAATTTCATAGATTTTGACCCATCCCCCATTTCAATGCAGTCACAAATTAAAGTGTGCAATCATGGGCATTTCAATCGTTTGGGCCTTTGGGTTTGGGCAATTGGAATTATCTCCGTGAGCATGCTGAAGAGATTGCCACTCACGGCGGCTCAAAAGGAAGATGTCACTTGGCTTCAGCTGGTCTCGTATTTCATGTAATTAGTCTCGGTTTGCTATGTCTGCACTCTACACAAAATCTGACGGTTGATACAGTTCCACGGTAGAGATGGAGATCCTCTTGTCACCTATAAGTTGCGCATGTTTCATACTCTCACCACTCCCCGGGACAACTAGATCATCATTCCAGGGCTCCTGAGTCATGCCTGTCTGGTTGGCTACCAGAGGTTCCCATCTTGGAGCCACAATAACAAGTATAGCCAATGTTCGCCAATAAATCAGCTGCCATCTGGTAGTCAAACATGGTTAACTAGAAAATAATCTATAAATGCTGGCTTAATATGTCTAATGGGAACATATATAATCTATATAACATTATATAACTATATAATAATATATATATATAATATAGTCAATCTATAATATATATATATAACAAATCTATAATATATATATATAATCAATCTATAGTATATATATATAATCAATCTATAATATATATATATATAGTCAATCTATAATAATATACATATATATATATATTCAATCTATAATATATATATATATATATATACTGTATATATATATATATATATTCAATCTATAATATTTATTTTTAAATATATATATATATATGTGTGTATATAGTGTATATATATATAGAGAATCAAGCATGGCCACCAGGAATGCTGGACCAGTCTCCTCCACCATGTCCTTTGGGCCAGCAACAACCTCAGGCCAGGTCAAACCACTTGTTGCACCTGGGAAAACAAGTTTGTAAATGATGAACAAACTGGGGGTAACTGCTTCCGCATCCCAGTAAGTGGTGTGTAACATTGTGTAACCATATTGCTTAATTACGTATATCTGGGGTAATTATACTATGTATATATATATAATGTAATTACCCCAGTTGTAGATGCTTTTTCACCACATGAGTGTCTTAAATTCTGGGACCTGCCTGATTTCGGCCTTGCCAGCGGAGTCCGAGGGACCGTTTGGCTCGGAGCGTTGATGGCAGCGACGTTGAGTCGGTCTCGCTTCACCTCATAGAGCTTTGAAGCTTTGGTGTTAAACATTCGTGGGTTTATCATGAGTTGGATTATTAGAATTGCCATTATTGTTTACCATAAATGGCAATTCATCATGGTATACCATAATTATTGTACAATCAGTATACCGTATACCCCAATGAGTTGTCCCTAATTATTAGAATTACCATGAATCTTTGGGTATACGGTATACTGATTGTATACTGTTTGCAAACACACTTGTGTTGGCAATCGTACAAACTATGCTCACTCCAATCCACACAGAAATCACGCTGCCAGTGACAAGGTTGGGATACCACATGCCCTGAATTTGAACTAGCCGACCAAACTTGGATGTTCGGGGATATATTTAGACCTTTAAAATGCACTTAATTCATCATAAACCATCATAAATCATCATAAACCATCATAAATCATCATAAATCATGATAACTCATCATAGCCAAGGTTTCTTTTAATCGTTTTTCTTCATCTCCGGGTTTTCAGCAACGATAGGGCGATACCCCAACGGGATGATGTATTTCATCTAAGCACCTCACCAACGCAGTCTCCACCTGGACCATAGCGATTTGGAATGGTCCAAAAAAAAATGATTTGCCATTGATTTACCATGTTTTAGCATAAAACGTGGTGATTTCCTATATCTATATATCTGTATATATATATAATATATGTATGCATAATCATCGTATATATATATATATATAAAAGATAAATATTATACAGCCACATAGACTCTGTTTGTACCCATAAAAATGGTGGATTAATTATACCCTAAAGTTTTAGTACATTTTACAATTTTATTGAGATATTTGGAGGGTCTAGGTATAACGAAAAATTGATCATATATAGGGGTCCCAAAAAGATAGAAAAGTTTTTTTCCAGGATTTTCCAGGATATTTGGTTCGATGATCTTTCCTGAATGTTTCCATGTATGACCGGGGGGTGCTATAATAAACAGTGAAGGACTGAATGGACATAATAATATGTGAAGAATAATTGCGTTTGCCAAAAACAACTATATTAATAGGAATTATAGGAATAATAACAACATAGTCATGGAACAAATCAATCCTATTATATGACAAAGGGGGTCTCATGTCATATAACCACCAACTTATTGGTAAATAATGAACTATCATGGAGCAACTGGCTATGGATTTGTTTCTTGGATCAAGGGGACTCCGAATTCTAGTCATGTTAAGGATCGTAAACCATCCCACGTTTTGGAATTTTGAAGTACTCAACTTTGACCCGTACAGTACCCGATTGGACTCATACAACCAACAAAAAAATTGCCGTGACTCACCAATACTGCTTCAATGCCGTTCACCGTTCACCGAAATACTCATCCAACAAAAACCATCGACCTGGGAATCCCCGCCTCCTTGAGGGGTGCGAAGATCGCTGCCATTCGACCGGGAGGATCAATGCACCTCGTGCTGGGGCCATGTCAAAGCCCCATCTTTTTTTGCACCATTGGGGGGGGGGTCCTAATGTTCCTAAAATAGAGGTATCCAAAAATGGATGGTTTATGATGGTTTATAATAGAATCAGTAGAATATGTCCCACCGAAAAAGGGATGATTTGGGGGGTAACACCATGGTGGATTGTGCCTCTCATCCAGCAGCCGACCACGCGCGGCCACTAACCGCAGCCTTGGCAGTGGCTGGAAGATATCATGGGTTTGTCCTACAATAATGGAGATCAAAAACCAACCATAACGGGGATATTTCATGGGATATAGTGGAGGAATTACACACTTACAATATATTTTCATTATCTAATGGGTACTTTAGGGATAGTACCAGCAATGTATGTGTCTAAACCACAATGTAACCATATTTAATGGGATCTACAACCAATATGGGATGCATGGTTGTGTTAAAAATGGGCGGCCCCCAAGATATAGCCATGTTAAAGCATCTGAAAAACATGTCTTATCATAAAGGGGATTCCTACCCATCTCAGCGATCACGCAATGGCGAATCCAAAGGGATCAGGTCAACCAAGGCAAAGGATGAAACATGCCAATTTTTGATGTTCCTTGGAGGGTCTAGGTCTGTATACCTATCCAATTATATCCCAGTGAAATTCCATTCTGTCCAATCAGATCCCATTCTATGTCAATGGTTGGTTATATATGGTATATATGCGTATATTTCCACTACATATATATATATAATATTATTATATATAATTATATATACATACTATTATATATATATAGATATATCCAATATCATATTTCATTATTCCGTTTATTATGTTAGATATATCCCAGCATAACCCTTTTCAAATCCATGTGAGGCCTCAACGGATCGAGGCTTCGACCCCTCTTCCAAAGACATCACGCCGGCGACGCAGGCGGCCGCGAAGTCTCCTAGACCTGAAGATGTGGAAAACCCACGAAAAGCCAATGAAACCCATGGTTTCCTTACCACAAATCATCTAGACATGGGGGGGAGTTCCACATCTATGTTAATTTAGGAGGGTATGTGATATTATATATTGAGAGACTAGATTTCATAATATCCATTATGTAAAAGAATGTCTTAATATATATATATATATATATGTAATTGAAAATAAAGTAGGTACATAGACCAACTGTAGCAGGCACTACAGAGAAAATATTCAAACTTGTGCTGTAAATGGTACTATATTCACATATATACAGTATATATATATATATATTATATATACATTAATTATGTGTATATATACCATTTATATACCCAGACCCTTAGTATACCAGTGGAAATGGTTTAAACATTGGCAACGGTCCGCTCTAAGGTGGCGGCTGTGTCCAAGTACAGCCACTGGCTGTACACCACGTGCTTTCCACATCGCAGCCTCGGGGATCTGTAGCGCATGGTAGGAATCCCCAAACTGCCCAAACACGAAAATCATTCAGGTTGATGGAATACTATGGAATGCCAAAGTTCATATATAATTCATGTATATATATGTGAACAAATTGATCCTTGTTCTGGATTATCCCTTTTGTCTGTAGTACCAGTAATGCTGATAGCGCCGGGCAATCTCAGTGCATGGCATGCGGACAGCGTTCTTATTTTCCTCGCGCAGGACTTGAGCCAATATCATTGGCGGTCCATGCATGACTGTACACGTGTTCATCATGTGCAGCTACACTGTTACCTCGTTCCCCTTCGCACCCCCCATGCCTATGGCATCTTCGAACCATAGGCACGAGAGTGGGAACTTTGAGTTAGATTCTTCTGCTACTCGAATTGCGCCTATGTACATAAAACATGCCATTCGGCTCCCCCTTCCCCACATACCCGTCGGGAATAATGGTTCAGGGTTCGCCTACTCCTTGGCTGTCGATGCATCGACGCTTCATCAAGCTGTACAACGCGAATTATTGCTAGCTAACATCTACTTTTCTACGTTGGCTAAGCATGCCACTCACCCGTCGGGAGAAATGGATCGCCTCGCTACCAAAGATTTACAATGCTAACTAACGAATTCACGTGCACAATGCAGAATCTCGTGCAGATTGGGAATATCAAAAGTCTTGAACCTAAGCGAATTAGTCTAATGCCTCGCTCAGTGTCCACTCAGTTGGTCTTTTCCTGATCATCTGTTCATAAAGACGGTAAACATCTTGTAGCCCAGTGATCATTTTGACGGATCGAAGCAATTGGTTTACTGCTCACGGCGGACTTTCTTCCATTGAGGTGCTGTTGGAGTTCTCTCCCATCCTGCCGCACGTTTCGGAGCAGCTTTCGGCGATGAAGGCTTTGCAGGCGGTGCCTTTGATGGTTCATGGGATTTCGGCATAGCCTTGCCCTTTGGTGCGCTAGCCGATGAGGATGATGCTGAACCAGTGCCTTCAGGTGTCTGTGAAGGTTGTGCGGGTGGTTTAGCAAACTTGGAAGCTGCAGTATGTCCAACCGCTTTGAATACTTCACTCACCACTTCGTCGCCAAGGGTTGGAGCCATCTTCGTTTTCATCTCGGTCTTTCCCCTCTGCGCCTCGGCCTCGGCCAGCTGAATAGCATAAGCCATCTTGCTGACAAAGTTTTGAGGTAAAGGAATGCCACATTGTTGGGCGGCAAAGAGCAGTTCTACTCTCTGTTCTTTCTCCCTCAGGCTCAGATATACCGAGAAAGCTGGGAGTTCGATGCAGTTGGGGAAGCCGTGGCTCCCGGAGCGAAAGAAGGTGTATGACTCGTGCTCCGGAAAGGTTCCTTTGAGCAGTCGTCGAAGGAAATTGCTGATGGTTACTCGCATCTCCTGTTTCCCTTGGGCATCAGCCTGCATTCGGTTCATTGGCATGAGAAAGCCTAATGACTCAGGAGTGTACCCGGCGCGTACCAGAAATTCCATCATCTTCTCATAGATCTCTAAAGTCTTGATGACAGGCATCATCATGTTTCTTGGTCGCCCTGAGTATAACTTCTCTCCTTCTGACCATGAATTCCTCTTCCCTTTCTCCTGAAAAGAGTTCATCCAACTCCAGCTCCGTCGGGCGCTTGAGGTTACCATCCTGGTCTTCTCCTGTATAAGGACAGAAGTCGTCCAGGTCCAGCCGGACTCGCTTGGTTTCCGTCATCATCTCATAGTATTCCTCTGGGGTCAGAGTGACTCTCTGTTTGTAGTAGAGCCTGAACATTGTGATGATCTTTGACATGACGGCATTGTCATACAAGTGAGCCGCGGCCTCGGAGACATCATTGTTGATAAGTCCGTCTTCTGGCATACCCTTGCTGCCGCTCTCGAGGTTCTTGGTCCATGCTGGAAGTTTGGAAGAGGGTTCATCTTCAGGTTCGACTTCCATTTCATCGTCGTCTTCTTCAACGATTTCGTCGTCTTCCTGTTGGGCTTCCTCCTCCTGATCCATTTCCTCATCATCGCCTTCGTTGTAGTCGACCTCGTCAGGATTGAAGCCATAGTCGTTGGATTCGGATACGTTTTCTTGTGCTTGATGGACCGTATCCTTGAACAACGATTCTTCTTGTCGACGAACTTCTTCATCGATCTCTTTCTTCGTGGCCTCATCTTCATCGTCTTCAGGAGCTTGTAGCCGATAGGGACGGATTCCACAACTTTCAAGTTCCGTCCAGCAAACTAGACACACTGCTAGTTTTGTCGGCGTCTCATTGAGACAGTGAGGACAATGGCGGCAACCTGATGTTTGCACCCTTTTGCGTTCGACTATGTAGTCAATCAGCTTGATGCGGGCCAGGTATTGCTCTTGTCCGCCAGGCTCGATGAGGTTGTTCTTGAATTGGTTGACGATGTTCATGGCATCCATGGCGGTTTCGTCAAACGGTTGATCTTCGGCGTCGATGCACTGACTTGCAACCCTCAAGATGGACTCCTTGGTGGCTACCGTTCTTGATTTGATAGTTCCAGACCGGACTACCTGGTCATCGCCCGACGGGACGAACAACCGGAGCCATGTCTTATTGTTTTGGTCCTTTGGGTCCTGAATCCATCCTCCTTTGATTGCCGAGAACGGGATGATCTTTGGTGAGACGATCTGTCCCGAGTCAGTCAGTCGACCGCCATATTCCACCATCAAGGTCTCGGTCGGGACGAACAAGCAAATGTAGTCCCCTCTTCGCGTATCAACGCTCTTCGTGATGGTCCATGATCTGTGATCCCATGGCACATACGGGTTGAAGAACGTGAACATCCGATGACCTTCTCCAAGACCTCCTGGAATTAATCCCTGCCTCCAAATGCTTCGAAGGTTGGTCTTCTTGGTGATGTGGAAACAAACCGGTAACGACAAAATGGTGTTGGGCGCGATTGGATGTGAAAGTAATGAGGACAGCAATGAGACGTCGTCCCTTGAAGATCCTTCTTTGTGCCCCGTAGGAGCACGGACCGCCACAGGGTAGAGCAGTAGACCTTCATCAGGAATGTTCGTGTCCGCATCGACTTTGTTGTCAATGCACGTCAGGCTGGTGCGCTCAATGTCCTTGTTGATACCAAATGCCAAGACTTGTTCACGAACGCGACGTCCATACCGGGCACAGTGGAACATGATCTTGAAGAGCAATGTCATGCGGTAGTTTGCCTCATCGACATTCCATGCATTCTGATCATTTGCTCTTCCTTTTGGAGCAAGGAATACATGTGGCCAGCGTGCGTACTCGTGCCTCCAGATGGACTCACATTTGAGCACCTCCTCGATGGGCACCCAGCCGGCGTCATCACATGACAGACTCTGTTGTTCTGATACCTTCCCCACGTTGTGCCGCAGGATCCTGTTTAGTGATGAACTCACCTTGTCCTCGTAGGTATTGAGCCGGTTGCCAGTCTCGAAGCGGTAGTTGGCCGCATATTCTACACCTCCAAAGTAAGAGCAGTTGAAGAAATGGGCCCCCGTAGTCGGGATGATTTTCAAGAAACCATCTTGCGGCGCCTCGACTCTCTTGTAGAAGGGCTTCCTGATGTTGTTATCAGAGTAGCTTGCCATGAAGTCTGGCACTGACCAAGAGTCACCTCCTCCTCTGACAATAGCGTCTCTGACCACTTCGTTGAGGTCAACAATGTTCTGTGGTCCTAGCTTTGTAACATCACGTCCTTCTATGCAGAATCTACCATACTCATCGAGGTCACCAACTTCAGACATAGTTCTGATGCTGTCGTACCATTGGTGTTCACTAAACCTCGATTTTGTAGGTTCATCCGTTTGCCCCGACCCATCAGTAGCACCTGAACCGTCCTTCTTGTGCTCAGGAGGCTCCATATCGACGTCATCAGATGTTGGACTATCAGCCTCGAGCGACGCTCGGACGGCCTTTAGCACCTTTCTGACTTCATCCCTCTTCTCATGTTCACATTCAAGATGGCCATGTTGGGTGCTACCACAATACAAGCACACGTTGACATCCTCAGAGACGGTAAAGAGTTTTCCCAACGCATCCAAAAGTTGTTGTTTCCCGGAATTCTCTGAGTCCCTGACCACATCGGTGGGGTCGTTCGCTGGCTCATCAGCTTCCTCCTCCCCAGGGTGAGCCGACGACTCGTCACCTGGCTTGGCATCGGCATCAGTGCCCATGCTGGCGTCACCCCCTGTGATGTTGTTCTTCCTGCGATAATGAGAGAATACCTGATCCTTCTCCCAGTCCGTGAGGCAGCAGAAATTGGCCAGCGAGTCATATCCGGGGATTGCGTGGATGAGCTTCATGACCCTTTCGGCTTCTGCAGTTTGCAGTGTGCAGTCGAAGGATCCCCGTCTCTTGTCATTGATGGTGCTCGAGGTTCGGGAGGTCGATGTGAATTGAGCCAGTGCCTTTTCCAGTCCATTGAGATACTCAGCTGGATCAACGCTAGCATTGAAAACATCCACGACTCCCTTGGCCATATTGGCCACGTCCAAGACACCAAGCCAGAACTCGATGATATCTCCAGTTTTCTCGGCAGATGCACGGGAGAATCCAAAAATCTCGTTCCTCTCCTTCACCTCGGGAACGGCAACCTTTTCGAAGAAGTCTTTGTATGCGACATTTCCGCAATCCTTTGTGACTCTATAGATCAAAAGCCACTTCTTTGCAACATCATCGAAAACTCTTTCGCGATATATGCTGAATTGCTTGCCGCGTCCGTTCCGGAAAATTTCCAGAGCTTGCCTCTTCGAAATTCTGACTCCTCCCATGTGAGATAGAGATTTCATCAAGTGCTCCCCATACGCCAACGATGCATTTGAAATCAACGAAGACGCAGTAAATGTGAGCCATGTTTGGAATCCTTGATTGATGTCAACAATGTCAACACCAAGATCCTCGAATGCAACCTTCAACCTAGCTGCAAGGAGTAGTACGGACTTCCTGGCCTCCAATGTGGGAGATGAACGCTTGTAATGGTCC